CCTCTTTGATGAGACGAAGGACGGTCGATAACAACTAATCGATGTTGGGATACGGGGCGTGGTTTCACAAAACACATCATATGTCCTTAGTATGGTTAGAGCAGCTTCATTATGAAACCCTCCCGACTTTACATAAAACAAGCCATCTTGATGAGACAGTTAACGTTTAAAAAAAAAAATCTAAAACAGACATATTTCCTAATATGAATTAATATTTCGTTTATGCAGCACTAAAGTTTCATTAGCGAATCTAGGATTTTATTTTATAGACATGCATGGTAATGCAGTCCCCCCTCCCCCAACCAAAAAAGGAGGTTTACCTTTTGTCAATAACTCTAAACATGCTAGTGAATTTCAAGCTCTATACACAACCTATGGGGTGGTTGCTTTTTTTTACCTGACTGCTAAGAAAGCATAAATGCTTGTAAGTAAGCAACCAGACGGCCGACGGCTTTAGGTCCTCTCCGAGGGACCTGGTAATGAGGATTAATGCCTTACCAAAGGGCACTAGCGCATCGACTTGGTTTCGAACCCGGGTCAATGCTCTAGTGTGTCAACATGATGTTTCAAGAAAGAAAGTTGATTTTACGATCAACGACTAAAACCTGGTACATTTTATTGTGTTTTTATTATAAGTCGTATCATGAGCTATTAAGATTTCTAATCAGTATGTAAACATGATTCAAATTACTGGAAGGTTCTGCGGTAACGAAATGTTACGACTGTGATCGACAGATCAATGGTTTTGTGAAACCGACCCCTATGAGACAGCCTAATGTATCAGACATGAAAACAAACATTAGAGTACACAAACGAGACATGGATGATTATAATTTCTTAGTCACGTAAACATCATTGCAATTATAATGTAGAAATATGAAACACCTCTACATGTAGTTAATCTGTAGTTTTTATGATTTAAATGTCTCGCATTAGCCTACTTCAACATCAGTCTCAAGAGGTCAGAGAGTTAACTTAACAAACGCCCTCTTTCATATCCCTCATCTTAATCAATAAATCTTTTGTTCTGTACTCCTTTTAGAAAAACTCCGAAAGTGTCCCAAAATACAGCTATCGATCTGTAGATAACATAAGAAATATAGGAGAAAGCAGGAGAAGCGATTAATGATAGCAACTTCATTTCCTCCTGTATAAAGATGAAGACAGGAAAATAAATAGAAACGTTCTAGATCTGATTGTAAAGCATTGTGTAGATACCTGATAGTCAAGGTTTCTCGATGGTATAGAAGCAGAGTTTGGTGAAAGTGGAAAGAGAAACATAGATTCACGGGATAGCAACAAGCGGTAAGTTTTTTTCTCTTTTTTAGTTCTCCACATCTCTGCTTTATAATAATAAGTCTCAATCCGACGATCCGTGATGCAACATGTTTACGATTAAAGATATCCTTTGCTTCTCTTTCTCTTGATATTAAATCGGTAACCTTTTGTTCTGACACGCAAGAAAGGTCAATTTAGTTAAGCTGTCACGTCTCTATGAAAGGTTGCCAGAAAAGAATAACAATATTTACAGCAAACATGATGACATGACGCCATAACTTATGTCTACCCTCTCATCTTTACATCTTCCATTAATGCTTTATCGAAAACTATTCATCAAATTGTCTCGATGTTTGTTTTTCTTCTGATATCAATGTATATTGAGCGCCAGGAGTGTCAAGACTGATAAACATAATCGCTTTACAAGTACCCTCTAATAGCCTTATTATTATATTGACTCTGTAAAAGTTGAAATAGAAATCGTTTGTAATAGTCATTATACACATTACAAATAGATAGATTTGGAAATCAAAACAGCAATGATTGCATACTTTGTTTACCCAACACTTTTGAATTTGTTGAACTCTTTTTACAGTCGCTATAAAGCAGGTCTAGGAGATGCTTACTGATTACTATACTGTATGTGTTCCGTGAGGTATATCACTAATAGCTGATCTAGATGTAATATTAGTAATCAAGCATAACGATCTTCGTGATCTAATCGCTTGAAGGTCATGCACCATTTTTTTCCAATATCTGATACATAACCTTCTGTCAAAACCCTAAAAAGAGATTTTTATCACCGGCATACAATTATGAAAACTATTGTATAGCAATCATGTGGGTGGGGTGTCGTAGTATAAATAATTAGTTTTGTGGTGTGTTGCTGTTGCGAGTTGATTTCTTGAAAGATATTTCTTTGATTATTTGACTTTCGAAAACTATTTTCTTTCTCTTTCTCCAGGTTTCCTGACAATGCAGCTGTAAAACGCAATCAAATGACATAAAATCTACCGTTATGGCATGACGTTAGGTGTATTAAAACACTTGTTCAAAGAAAGTCTTTCTCTTCAGTCGTATGATAAAGCAAATCTTCAACGATGTGTACTGTATACGATGTCTATAAGCAGGTGCACAGGCGAACCACAGACTTCAAATCACGAGACTCTTTCCCATCTCTAGACCTAGCTGACTGGAATCGAGTTCGTGAGAGCATCAGTCGTAAGTCAAGCAGGCCATTTACTGGGTCGGAATGGTGGAATGGTGATGTCCTCAATGAACACTGCGACGACGGAGCTCACGTAAGCGATGACGACGACAACCAGTATGACGATGACGATGAGTCGGACTGCTCGACTGATGATCCTTTGGAGAGAGTCAGACAGGAAAACGCCGCCTCCTTGCAGAACTTCAGCACTTCTGATAAGACGAGAACTCATTCCGCTTTCTCCTGGTCACCAAGCAAAGCCCTTGATAAGCAAACCTTCGAAATACGACGCGCAATAGCTCGCCAATCTATCTCCAGAGGAATCAGCTTTGCCTTGCCAGCAAGCCAGACCAAACTCTCCATTAATTCTGATTTCCAGCCAGAACTGTATGGATTATTCACCAACAAGTTCAGACACGAGCACGACCTCTGGAGAGAGCGTCGCGGAGGGACTTCCCCGCGATATCTAAGCCAAACACCCAGACTGAAACCACCTCCAGCTCCAAAGCGATTCATCCCTGATATCACCACTTACTGTCCCCGCGATCAGTTCCTAATTGGCGGGAAACCCAAGATCGACGAACCCACATTCCGGTCGTCTGACCTGCATAGCGGTAACGTGACGCTGCCAACCGATGGAATGCCCACGGTCCGTATGCGACGAAAGTCTTTGACTCGCTGTAAGGCATCACTAGAGTTACAGGACGATGTCATCCATCTATGGCAAAACAACACCGTGCTTAAAGCCAAGAATGTGTTCAAGAAGTCTCTTCTGAAATGGAAGGATGGAGTGAAGAAAGGCGAGGAGGATGATGACCTTATGGAAGGGAGCAAAAGAGCAGAGGTCTTAGCATGGCTCGATAAGATGAAACTAAAATGAACAAAATATACCTTGTATTGCATTCTCGTGTCAGCTGCATACAAGATTATAAATATTGCATGGATGTGTGTGGTATAGTGGTCAATTCACTCGAATCTCAATCCAAGCGTTGAAGGTTCGAATCAAAGCACGGCACAAACATCCTTTTTGCAAGACATTCATCCACATTTGTCACTCTCCACCCAGGTTTAACTGGGTTCCTGGCAATGGCTGGGGTTATAATAATTACAGGGGCCTCCGGAAGAAAAGCATTGAAGCTCATGAGGCTTCCCTGTCATGCCTTCGTCAACAACATTAGTATACACTTTATTATATTACATACATGTATGTGTGAAAGTACTGCCTCTATGTTTTGTCTTTTTCACAAAGCTATGATATTCGACACGTTTTTCTTTAACATATTCTTGCCTTTTACTCTGATATGATCACATTCTAACCTTTCTTATGTCTTTTATCAAAGTTGGTCTTTACTATCACTTCTTTTGTCAATGATGAACTATCGTCGTTGGGCCACTATTGGACAATGTTAATGGGCCAGTCATTTGAAGAAAACAAAACGACATGAAATGTTTTTCTCACTGATCAGGGATCTTCCTCCATGAGATATCCTCAGTCAATTTATTAGGAAATGCCACTTTAACAGTATTGAAAATAAGTCTTTAGACTCCTGCAGAACACTCGGCCTATTCAAAGTGACTTTTAAATCTATGTTAGAGCACTTAAGGTGAGCCTCTCATCGTTGAAGGTTCTGGAAACTAGTCCTGGTAATGACTAGATGACGTACAATTTGCTGATGCAATTATACATTTGTTGCACTGTTGAGGTGAAAATCGATCCATGTAGCTTTATTGTTTGTGAATTAAAACCGAAATTAAGTAAAGTGCACAAACTGTAAAAAAGGAGTTTTTTAAAATTTTTTTAAAACATTTATAAGCGTTAAGGAGTGGAAGCGTGATTTAAAATAACCTTGCTCAAGTGATTGAGAGCAGATGCAACTAAAAGTGATGGTTTGTCGATGGTGATGTCTAAAGAAACGAAACGTTGATGGCGTTTTTTGTTGGTGTATGATCGAATCGATTTAGGTGCAGATGCAGATGAATGCAATATAATTAATCAAATCAATGCGTGCTAAAGATGATGATAATAATAATTTAGTTGTATCTGTGACTTGAATAATTAACACGATCAGACGTATGGTGATGATGTTGACACTGATTACAACGCTTAGTGCAGTGATGATGTTGACGATGACGGAGACGACAATGTTTTTGCTAAGCCTATCATCCTCCCTCTCCATCCATCCCTGAAATCGTCATCTTTGAATGTTCTGACTTCATCTTAGAGACTATTTACAGTTGCACACATTAATTCATATCCATCTATTCCTCCAAATCTTCACTATCAAGCGTTCTCTTCCTTGCTTGATCCGTCCATACTCCTTCCCCTCGTCCTCCTCCTCCTCCTCCTCCTTCTCCTCCTCTTCCCCTCCCTCTCTTTCTCTCTCTCTCTCTCTCTCTCTCTCTCTCTCACTTTATGTCTTTGTCATTATCTCTTCTATCCTCTTCTCTCCCGTTCTCTGTATAATGTGTTTTCTCTCCGTCTCCCATTGACTCTAGAACATTTTAAATAGACGAATATGTTTTTCGTTTGTTTTATTTGGTTATTTGCACATACTAAATTTTCTACAACCAAAATCAATAAATCCAAAATATATACATATCTAATTTTCAGCAATATTTACAAATATAAAATTTCTATCGTAAGTTTTCTTCAACCCTATTTGAATGACCGCAACACGAGATCTTGGTTGGATTTAACTATGTGTATTACTGGTATTTGTTTTCTAGTGTATTATCACGCTACTAATTATACAGTCGATACTTCATTTTAGATATCCCGTTAAAACGCGTGACTCTTCATTTGTCTTGTCCATACAACTCAGTATTTATATATATACAATCATGTCACAATGGAAAATTTGTAAAACAATTTTCTTTGGCATCGCTTTTTTTCCCGCGCCAACAGACCGATCTAAAATCCATCGATACCGGCATACGTGTAATCGAGATCGGAAACAAAGTCATCTGCGTTGTCTGTATGTGTGTTGCTGTTCAGGAAACATGGTTTCAAAGAGCCTGGTGAAGTACGATGATAGTTAATGGACAGACAGTTGCTCTCCCTGGTGCAGTGGTTTGTACAGTCAGCCAGGCTGTAGGCGTCCAGCTGGTAGAGGTAGTGGTTAGTGAGGCGATACCCCTTCTGGAGAACGTAGACTGACTTTCTCTCATCGGGGTTCGGGTTACTACAACGACAATCGAAAAATATTCATTAATGTATAGGCCTATATATATTTCTCGGATTCAGTTTGAAATACTCTTTGAAAAACAATTTAGAGAAGAATTTATATTACTAAACAAGAGAAAAGAAACAAAAATAATCTGATATAGATTAATGTCGTTTTTATCGTAGATACCCTAGACAAAATTATTGTTATGGTACGTATCTGCTGAATTATGAAATAATCCTATATAATGGCAATTTGCACAAAAAGTTTCCAACGGCGTCTTTACCGTTCAAACCTGTCAAATGAAATGTCGTAGCTTACATAAGTAATAGGCGTTGATGACACTGAATTCTTCGGAGCTGACCAACAGTATATCGCCCCTGCCCCGATTCGACCGTAGCCGGATTTTTATTTCACAGTATTTTTAAACCCATTTTCACGTTGTATCTTTTCCTCTCTAATTAAAAAGAAAACATAAAATTTCAATAAACGGAAAAGGAAGCTAATTCAAGATACTTACGGGACGACTCCAACGTTGCATTGACGGGAGGATCGCTCAGGGGACCGTCACCGTTGTCATTACTAACGAAGATAACGAACTCATACGTCCTCCCCGGTCTCAATCCCGTCATGTAATGAGACGATGCCGTCGAATCGAGGCTGATAGACTGCGTATTGCTACTCTGTTCATTTATGGGCCAATAGTTGATCTAGAGGGAAGAAAAGAAAGCAATGTTTATAATAGTAGCATATTGCGAAACAGGCCATCTTGCAGACTATTAAACCCCAAATCCGAGGCAGGAAGGGTACGTGTTCTCCCTCTCGAACAATGAAAAGAGAAGGGGAAAGAAAGAAAAGAAGAAGAAACAAATAAAAGAAAATGGGAAAGGGCGAGAGAGATAAAAGATGACAGTACTTGCTGCAAGCTCCGTCTAATGGCTAGCCTTGTTATTCCGTCTTTCATTTACATATATAGACCGGTGCCCACCCCACATCACCCCCCCCCCCTCCGCCCCACCCCAAGTAACACACACGTTACCCACTGACTCAAAGCAAGAGAATGTCTTACGGTGATAGCATTGACATCAGAGTTCTGGACAGATTGAGGGACGCTTCCCCAGGTGAATGCGATAGCATTGGTACCAGCTGTCTCTGATGAAAAGTCGCTTGGATATGATGTCGGATCTGTCATATGGAGAGAGAATAGAAAAGTAATGGGAATTTCTTCTTCTGCTTTCTCCGCCTTCTCCATCTTCTTCATCTTCTCTTTCTCTTTCTACTCCTCCTCCTCTTTCTGTTCTTTTTCATCTGCATATTCTTCTTTTTCTTTTTCTTTTTCTTTTTCTTCTTCTTTTTCTTCCCTCTTCCTCTCGCACTGTCGAGTATTGTCAGAGATCTTCAGTGTATTGCAAGAATTTTCCTCCAGATCTGTTCGACTTAGAAATTCCTTTGGATCTTTTAGAACATACAACATATTCGATGCATTAAAAGTTTACAGTTATTGCCTACATTTATGGCTTGATTTGAAAATAACATATAAGACATCTCGGCCTATTTTGCATCATCATGATCATAGTTCCAAAGATGTTGAATGAAACTTGTATCAGTGCTACTTACGTGTATCTTGTTCGCAGATGTAATAGTTAGTGGTCGAGCATGCCCGGTCGTTGAGACTCTGAGAGGTGTAAAGCTCCACACAGTCTTCCCCTGATCCTGCCCCGTCTGGTTGGCCACTCAACCAGTAACTACTACTCGCTGGCTCCATGAAGTGCTCCGTCTCATAATGATAGAATCCTACAAAGAAAATAGAGATAACGAACCTGATGAGCATTCATTCACTGATACTTCATTTCGATTCATGTTTTAAACATGCATGAACAACGAATGACTACTGATTTACATAAAACAGTGTTATCATTAATCAACCAAAAAATCTAATGATTTGGGGAGGGGGGAGGGGTAGAAGTGTAGGAGGCTTGGGAAATCCTTGTGCAAATGATATAGATGTAGGGTCTAAGTTTTAATTGTATAGGATAAAATTTACTGGACAGGCTCACTTTATACTAAACTCTCTATAAGAACCTGGATCGTAAGAGAAAGTTGTGATTTTTATTTTCAACCCTTAACAACAAAAAAGCTCACCGTCAGACGAGCGATATGTCAGCCCGATCCAGAATTGCCTAGTTGAGTACCGATAACGGTAATAGTCGACCAAGAAGTTGAACTCCCTGTCTGACTCTATGGTTACAAGATCCGCCCCCTGGGACTGACAATAGTCCTGCGCATCGGTCCAGGACCTGGTATCTGTTCCAAAGAGGTAGCAGCTATGATCATCCCAGGCCCAGCCGTCGCTGCAGAGAGAATGTGTGGTGGGCTGAGCGATTGCTTCAGCTCCTACAAGGCCAAAAGAGAATAATGTTTTTTTTTTTTTAAATCTGTTTAATATTACGCAACAATACTTATACATGAAACATACACTAAACCTTACTGACATTCAATCGTGACATCATACGTTTTAATAAGATGAGATTTAACATTAAGCTTTAGCTCAGTCTAATCAATTGGTATGCAGTTACAAGTGCAATAATCATTTCATATAATTTCTTGGGTCGTGTTTTTTTAAACTCGTATTTTCCTTCCCTTTGGTAATTTAATCTCTTCAAAACGGAACAATCTCCAATCTGTACTGTTTGAATTTGAATTTTATTAGTAAACTTCATTCATATACATGAACATTGTGTTTCACAATCTACTCGTTATAGGGGAAAACAACATACATACCAGGACTAGCTTTGCAGACATAGTAGCGTGTATTCTCGACAGCGGCATCAATGATTTCTGTCGTCTCGTCGCCATACATCATACCTCCATTCTCACCGATACCACCGTTAGGTTCACCGCTCTTCCAGGGCGCGTAAGATGGAGTGTTCCCTTCTGCATCTACCCATGTACCTGTTACCATGGAAACAAACATGGATTGTGGTTTTAGAAATACATGTCCTTTGAAAACAATGCCTTCCTGGCTGTTTTATTTGCATAGAATCTCTCTCTATCTCTCTCTCTCTCTGATTCCCCTTGTCTTCATCTATCTGACCCCCCTCCCCCCCACGGGGATTCTCATTCTCTCTCTTCCTCTCTCTCTCTCTCTCTCTCCCCCTCTCTCCCCCTCCCTCTCTTCATCTGTCTTACTCGTATTGCTTATCCAATATTTTATATTTATATATAGTCCATATTTATATTCATAAAAATAAGGGCAAGTATCAAACATTAAAAACAAAATAAAGCCATCGTTTACCTTCTTCACTAATATCGTTATATCCAAGCCAGAAGTCGCTCGAGTCTGCTTGAGACCATCGAAGAGTTTTCCTCATAAAGCTATATTCATCCACGTCATCCAGAACCGCTAAATGACCTGTAAAGCAACAACATTGATACTATAGTTTACTCCTTGTCTAAACGTAAGCACTAACGTGAATAATTCTGTGATTGTAATTTATTTAGTAATTTCTTATCTCCGTGCGGCAATGGTTTGTAAATTGCCCCTGACAAAACGTGTTTATTGTCTATTCAGACATCTGTCATGAATGTTTGCTAGTGATTTTTTTTTGTAGAAAATAATGCACATCGTTCCAGTGGCGGATCCAGGGGGGCCCCCCTTGAGAAAAAAATCATGTAAAATCACGTGATTTTTACCTTTTTTTGGGGTTGGGCCCCCCCCTGGCGCTCAAGGGGGGGGGGGGGGTGCAAATTGAATTTTTTTTTGAGGATAAAAAAAAAAATGTGCTCACTACCCCCTCCCCCCCCCCCCCCCCCCCCCCCCCCCCCACTGAGCGAATTTTTGGCCGGCGCGTTTTTCAAATTTTCGGGAGCAAAAAAAAAAAAAGTTGGGCCCCCTCCCCTAAGAAATCCTGGATCCGCGCCTGCATCGTCCTCTTATTTTAGGAATCCATCGATAATTTCATTCTGTGATAATATCCGCCATTTTATGATATCAAATTGACGATGTTCTCTGCTTTCACTATATTTACGTGATGGGACAACATCAGTGGTTAAGACAAACGTGATGGTGCCAGTAAAAAGAAGAAAAAATGAAATAAAATATGTATCTGAAATAATCTCACCTCCTTCTCCCTGACAAGCGGTTTCTGCATCTAACCAGCTTAAACTGGTAAGGACCGGTAGAAAGCAATTTGAGCCATACTCTGTCCAGCCTTCAGAACAGCTTGACGTCTCTGCATATCAAATAATACAAGATATCAATATAACATGATGACATTTTCATGAAATAATGGGACTAATTTGAACATTATAAAAAAATATAAGTTTTATGAAATCACTATAGCTACAGCGACTTCAAAACATAGTGGGAGATATTTCAGCATTGCCAGATTACCAAATTATACTGATATTGTTCTCTCGTGGTACTCATATAATTTCATCTTCATGACAGAAACTGGTTCTCATGCAATCGTGACGACCTCCTAATAAAGGAATCATCCACAATTGAGTATTGTTTAAAACCCTCCTAAATACATACTTGTACAAAACGCATTTTTACCGACTTACTGCCGGGCAATTAAAGCATCCGTTTTTCATATTACATGTTTAATATATTTTTTTGGAATAACTTTCCATCATTTAAGTATATTAGATTTCTTTTCAAAATGGCAAGATTGATATTGAAATATCTTATTTATTGTGCATGCCCATTCGTACATGTACATTGAATGCACTTCAGAGAGACCGTTTTCTATGTGATGGATATAATGATTTATGGGTTTCCGTATCAGTGCAAAAGGTAGGGTATTATTGTCATAATCATGGTTCCTATAAAATATATAATGTATATCATGAATGATTGCCTATATTGCAGGCACGATTACTACAATAAATACCTTAAAAGATACGTATAATGATTTTTTTTTTCTTCAATCATCAAGAAAAATATGTTTTTGAACAAGATGATTAGTTACGTTGCTTACCTTCAAAAGGATTTACCATTCGGTCCACTGAAGAAGAAAAAAAATAAAAATAAAATTAAACAGAATTCATCTTTCCCCCCCCCCCTTATTAGTTCTGTTAAGAAACCTGTAAATAGATGTCGACTACACATTACCAAAAAAGGTTATACTTTCCTGTACATTGCAACAGCCTGAAAACACATAACATTATGAAAAAAGATGACCTCCACTTTGACACATAGGAACAACACAGATTCCTTCGTTTTGGTTATACATTTTTAAATATTTTGCTTGTGGCATTAAAACAAGCTTGGAGGTTAATATTTACAGGTGTCTTTATTAGAACAAAACTGCGTCATGATTCAATGTCATAATCCATTTTGAGAACTGTAATCTAGTCTCAATACTAACATAATATCAACACACCACCCGTGCCCACCCCCCCCCCCCCCCCGGCTATATAAACGACTCACTGATTCGGACAAGGAGGTGGTATTCAGCCCCGCTGCTGATGGTGACGGTTTGATCATTCTCTTCGCTCAAATAGCAGCCGCCATCCGATGGATGAAAGTCGCAAGAGAGACATACGAAGGTCGTAGCGGCCGCGCAAGCTGCGACGCACTCGTTGACGGTGAGACCTGACTGATATTCATTGTTATAACCCGATAGATGGCTCTCTCTGATTAACATGAAATCTGTACGGTCAGTGACGATGTCTGTGAAAAGGAGTTAAAGAAAAAAGTTAAAGAAGTGAAATGAATATTATTTGGTCCATTAGATAATTTGATAGTTTAAGCGTGTGTTTGATGAAAATATTAAGATATAAATTGATATGAGCATTTAGTATGCCCTATATATACTTTAAAACATATCCTTTCGTATTTAAGAAACATATTTTCAGTTAAATGCAAAGTATATATCCCCCCTGAAGCCTTTGACATCTCATTTTACCACTCGTTTCATTACCTTATTATTTGTATAGCTATTTGATGCATTTGTGATGAAAAGCATCTAAATGTAATAACAGTTGTACAGCATTTTCATTGGCATATTCCTTCATCTCGCATTAGACTAATATAATCTATGAATATGTTAATACATGCATTCGTCAACAGAAGGGTTTTATATAAAAAAAAAACACGATTATCGAGAATCATTCTCTTTATGATTCAGATTTAGATTTAATTCTCTTGACCATTTTTTGTTAATTTTCCAATGATTGGTATGTCACTGCAATCCTTTTCTCTAAGTTATTCTGTAACAAACTTACAAGATTCATCTCCCTTGCAGTAAAGGGGTTCTAGTGTATAGTACCCTGACTCGCTGGCGTCTCCTGTATCACCAAACCTCATTTCAGTGACCGGTAAGGTAGTCTTATCGGTAAGATACCCCGAGTCCTCTCTCCAGTTATTGTCGTTGGTATTGCAGTTGCAGTGGTGACCGTTGGTACATGAACCTGAAAAACGAAGACCAATATTAATTCCTTCATAGCTCACCTAGATGGGATATGTAGGTTGTTCATTTCAAATCAAACGTATTTACAAGTTTTTCCGACCTGCTAGGTTCTTTCTTTATTGCGCAAAAAGCCTGCAATGTTGTCAATTTTTGCAACGCCGGATCGTGGGTTTATGTTATGGGCTAGTACCTCACTATTTGAGACAATGTTTTACTTTACTGCTGTTGCATTCATGTGAGATAATCTCAATGTGTAGAGCAGTCAATAAACAGAGTTTGACCAACACGGTTCTTGTTGGTTACAACATTGCGAATACTGCCTTGTCGACGGCTAGCACAAAACAAATGCGTAAGAATACGTAATATTGTGACCAACTGATGCCAAGTTGGCCAAATTCTGTACATGGATGGCTGAGATCCAGTAAACCAAGGACGCCCTCTATTATGACCTACAATCATACCTGAGCTTCCACAAGCGCACTGTCCGCCGTCTACCGTGGCTCCACCCCAGTAGTTCTTCAGGTTTCCGTCTCTGTCATACCAAGAAGTATAGCCAGTCATATAGGAACCATGGCATTCGTACTAAGACGGTGATGGAAGAGGAAAAAAAGAAGAAATATCACCCTGAGATTGCTGAAAATCTGCGACCACAGGAAAATAGGTAATACTGAACCCTAGATATGTTGATGTGATGTAGTATGTCAAAGCACTATTCGACACAATCATCTTCTAGGTAATTATCAATATCTACATGTATATTCTGAATGATCCCTTGTCTTGCCTCTTTCAGTTTTCATAGAAAAGCGACTTCCATTATCCTGATGTCTCTGTGTTTTTGTCCTTTGCTATTCTCTAGACATGCCCCTTCACCCTTTTACATATTATATGTGATAAACATTTTTGATTTGCTCTTATTCTCTCGCCCTCCTTATGCCATGTTACTATTGTTTTAAATTTCTTATCATTTATATCAACATGAATATATATATATATATATATATATATATATATATATATACATAAATATATTTTGTTTATACCATCAAGGAACTTTGAGAAAAAAGTAGAACCCTCGGTTTTACCCTACCTTGATAAATTGGGAGCACTCTGCGCTGATATCTGCACCCATAGCCACTTGATCAGCCGACTTATCACCATATCTAATGGATCGGATGAAACTACGAGCCGTCTCTGCACCTGTTACCAAAGATCGATATGCCTCCTGGTGCTCAAACGTCGTGATACCTGGCCAAGATAATCAAGAACTTTTGTAATAATTATGAGAAAACACACGGACAATTTTTTCATTAATAGTAATACATGTGAACTCAGTGATTTCCGTTCTCAGTCGTGATAAACTTCCCCAAGCTCAAAAAAGCAAATATTCTGGTGTTAGTGATAAATTTTACTGATAATACGAGGCAATTTCGCCGTGTTTTTCCTCATATTGAGTGATTGGCAAATAAATAAGAGTTGAACGTATGTCAGATCCATGGCCGGCATAATTATGATTTACCTTTCATTTTCTCTTCGTTTTTTTAATCCCTGTCAATGCAGTACATTTCAAGAAAACGTCGTTTTTGGACTTGGAAATATCGAAAAAATGAAAATATATGTAAACATTCTAACTTTGTAATGTTTGTCACTACTGTACATGATCGATTCGTGACTACTTCAAACAATAATTATCGTTGATATGTTACCTGTGCTAGCATCCGTAGTCATATCACAGTATACTCTGTATGGCTCGACTCCGTTATTTCTCCCATCAGGATCTATTGTGTAGTATCCATTAGATGTGTAGCCTTTACGCTTCCATTCAGCACAGGATACTGATCGAGAGAAAGGAAGAGGAAGGGAGAGAAAATAATTAGATCAATGATTTTTTTTTCTTCGGTTCTTCTCGGACATGAATTTTAAGTCATCATGGTATAGCTATTGGTAAAACCTCTTACTGAAAGTCTTCAGATGACAATGATCATGGATTTACAAAAAAATATGTATGAGGTATTTAAGTAAAACAATATCATTTCATTCTATTTTCTCCTATATCATTATAATTCAAAAACAATAAATAAACAAATACTGATCTCAAGCAGAGGTCACCTTCAGATGACGGTAATCCTGGATTTACAAAAAACGATATATTATGAGGTATTTAAATAAAACAAATATTATTTCATTCTATTTTCTCCTTTATTATTATAATTCATAAATAATAAATACATAAATGTGATATAGCTAGGAGACTGCTATTAGGCAGAGGTCAGCTTGTATTTCACGACGTGGACTGTTCACTAAAGAAATTGTTATGTATAAAGTTGAATTATACTCGAAAGCTGAGTCATAGCGACTATATATTAATAATAAACACTCTGGATCTGATTATAGATTGTGACTTACTGGTGTTGAGCGGGTATTTACAGATGTAGCCGTATGTTGACGAGCAGGCTGCATCATTCCACGTACCGTCTGAACTCCATCGTAATACACCACAATGTTCCAAGCCACCAGCTAAATAAAGAAATAACAACTTCAGAAATGAGGAACTTAGCTTTTAAGCTATATTAAATATTTGATTGGGAATGAACAACTGTCACCGTGGTTGTGCGGAACATGCTTCAGCGAACAAGATCCTACACTAAGAGATAGCGTTGTCGTAGTCTTGTGGTTACGTCTGTTGACTGTGTATCACATGGTTCGCAGTTCGAGAAGTGTGTTCAGTGATCAATCTTTATCGGAGGGACATCCACCCCTTCCATGCCTACCGCTTTTATTTTTATTTTTCAAAATGAATTTGTTGTTATTTACTTACACGGTTCACCAGAATACCAGTTGGTATATGATGTAACTGAGCCATCAGTCCAGGCCCAAGTTCCCTCTTCATCGAGGTCATTGAACCCAATCCAGTAAGAATTCGTACCAAAGGTACGTCTGTGTATTTGATAAATAAAAATTGAAACAAAGTTTTACAATCTTTTCATAGAAATCATGATACAGTACTGATCTAAAAGTGTGGTAGCATGAATTTAGAACGCGTTGAATTTGAAACCAGAAGTTTTACCAAATTTACATGGCTTCATAATCATAAATCTAAAAGGGATTTTGTTCTTGAATTTGACGTTATGTCAGATTTAAAGCAAAGTGCCATTTGGTGCCCTAGCATCGGCTCCCATCTGTGGGATACAACTATGTGGCGTTCGAACCCCTGAGCATACTCGGTCACAGGCCACATAACGCTCTGCGTGTGCTGTCAACAGGGTATTCCTGGATGTGGATCCTGTAATCGAGGAGTGGAGTCGAGGGTAGGGGTAGGGGCTTACCTCGATAGTACGAGAAGAAAGTTGCTTTCGTCTTGATCAGCTACGCTTGCCAGATCACCGTAGTCATTGAGATCTCTGCACGCATCAAGGGCTGTAGTATAGTCGACGGTAGATTCCACTAGTTGGTAGCATGCATTACCGTTGCGTGTCCATCCAGCGTCACACAGATCCTGGTCACTTGTACCATCATCTAGATAATATATTGTACAAATTCAACTCAAGGTGTTTAAGCAGTAAATACGTAAGTTCTGTAAATAGCAACGATTCTTTTGATAATGATAAAAATAATAATACATATGATTTATAAGGCGCCAAATCCACTTGACAGTCAAATGCTCAAGGCGCAGCTTGTGCAAAAGATGAAATACATACATGATACATTTATACAAAGTGCAATAAGAAAGGTACAGACATGAAAGGTAATGGTAATCAATTATAAGCTAAATTAAACAGATATTTCTTGAGATTGTTTTTTAACACCTCAGCAGAACTGCTATTCTTAACCCATTGAGGGACTTATCTTTCATTTCTATATTTTCATTTGTATATAGGTAGCCCCACCTTGTTCACAATGCATGTCATTCGCAATGGCTTAGCCACAGAGGATTATGTTCTTCAAAATGATGGGCAAAAAAGCAAGAGATAAAAAATAGGTGGACGGAGAGGAAAGGCGAAAATCAGAAGACATTCAGGGACATTTGACCCCCTTCCACACCACCATCTTGCTCGCTTGCCTTTTTTTTTATCACGTATTTCATCCACCTAGTAAATCGGGTGCACCAGTGCCCCCCCCCCCTCTTTAAAGGCTTCAGCTACGCTACGCCACTAATGATCCGCCCTTAGTTACGTAACCTGCATCAGATATCAGATGAACCATGTGATGTTAGTGTATATATGAAAGGAGAACTTTATATAATACCACTGAATCATCAAAACTATACTCACGAAATCATGAAATTATATACAAAGTCTATACTCGACAATCATTTTTTGTTTGATCTCTTAATGAAATCCAGAGGTATGTACTCACCGTTATATTTGTGAAGAAATGCAACCGTGTCAGGAAAACCTCTACTTCCTGTAAAGAAAAAGGTAAATAATGATTAATTAATAAAATTCAAATCGATGATAACTGCATAGGATTTTACGACCACATTGGTCAGTCAAAGATTTAAATATCATTACAAAAATATATCATGATATTACCACAAAGTATTTTGAGGCGAACTCGAACTAAATGTTGAATCATTGTAGTGTGATGAATGCAAAGATACACATTTTTCTTGTCAAATGAGATAACATCTTGGCCAACATAGAAAAAAAATCTTTCCTTAAAAATCTGGATAGCTATAATATTTTCGTATTAAAAGTGCTTTTTAATTTTCATTGTTAAAAGGAAGACAGCGTTTTTAATAATATTCTAGAGAAACAAAGAAAATGTCTCAACGAACTGTTTCAAAGTCAAGATACACATTTTCTTAACAGTTTGAATTATTGATCTGAAAGAAATATAGAAATATTCGTACCCGAGTCCCATGTCTGATATGTCGAGGCAGCACTGTAGATGAAGAAAGGTGTACCGTAGTATCCATCCCAACTACATCCATGGTTACTACCGTAGTCAATGACCACGACCCAACCAGCATCGACCGAGCAACCACCGTAGTGACGATTGATGAAGAATCTGCGCTGTCCACTAGTGCCGGAACTGTATAACGTTAACAAAATTGTACAGGGTTTCCCAATAAAGTTCAATGAGAAGTTTGTAAATTTTATGTAATAAATTTCAATAATTCTTTATGGGGTAACGTTGCTAGAGTAGCATCAAGACTTGGTTTGAGTTTCACTTTAATTTAATAAACACACCATAGCAAAGACATCCGAGGACTGCAATAGAAATGTCAAATTGGATGACGTAATAAATCGTTGCAATGGACGGACATTGCAATAGGTGACGGTCACAGGCACGTAGCCACGGGGGGGGGGGGGGGGGGCACGTGCCCCCCTAAAATTTCCAAGATCGGTTGAACTTTTTTAGACCCCTTTTATTTACCTCGATCGATTAATGTATGTGCCCCCCCCAAAAAAAAAACACAACAAAAACAACAAACAAACAAACAAAAAACATCGAACTCTGGCTACGTGCCTGGTGTTGGACAAATAATGAAAATTACTTCTTAAGGTTGAGTTTTTGCAGTGTTTGCGATCACGTTGAAATTATTTCTGTACGAGAAATAGTCATAGATCAAATAAAACACGAAAAAACCCTGAAAAAATATCTGCCCTTTTGAATTATTGAGATCGTTTTAGGTTATTGAGATGGTTTTGGATGTAACTTTGTAGTTCGATGAATGAAAGTGCCTCTTACCCTGCCATAGATTCGTAGTTCTTGGTATCCGTGTAGATGTCAGAGTAAGGTGCGTAGCTGATGTAGTTGGTATGAAACCAAGTCGTACGACTAGTTCCGGAGGTGTCGAATGTCAGACTCCGCATCTCGACACCACTGGAGTAGTAAGCAAACTTGATCTGTGAAAAGTTGATAGTTATAATCATAAGAAATCTAAGGTATCACAAACAAAACATCGTTGATAGATCAGTGTCAATTCTAGTGATTCTAGGAAAATTTCCGCTTTCAGATCAATATTTTTGGGAAAATCGTCTTTCTTTTAAACAAGTGAACACGTTATTTTTTCGGGTTTATGGACTTCGTATAAAATCTTTGCTTACTCGTGAATAGATAAAGGAAGGTTCGGACATTTTTCCTTAACCTCTTCCCAGATGTTTTTATATTAACTGTGGTGAATAAATAAATGAATAAAGATTGGAAAGGGAGTTTTAGATACCTGTTCCAGGGAGCTGGTATCGTAGCTATTTGCTTCAGAACTCTTGTATGTTTCCGATGTCGATGTGAGAATGTTAGCCGTGGTCGAGCCGTCATTATAAGTCGATGCTCCCGTATACAAGTCATACACGTTAATGCTCGATCCTCGTATCACCTTCATTACAAGCTGCCAATCTAGATTTCATAGAGGGAATGGAGAAAAAAAATTGATTCGAAAAGGGAAACTTGGAAGAAAAGAAAAGGAACAAGACAAAGCGAGACACAAAAGAAGAAAATGTAAGATTAAACATCAACAAAGTCCTTCTCAGGCGGCGGCGTGTTACATTCAAGCGCATCATTTTTTCATTTTGCCATTGATTTACTTAGTTCTGTTACTCCTTCCAAGTGCCCTGTTACCGTATCTGGTGTGTGCTATATGTGACATGTTTGTTAGATGATGATGTCTATATCATAAACAAAAGAAAAACAATATACACAATTCTTTACGTACAAAATTTGATCGAGGTCGTTATTTTGTAATTAGTTACTTCCCGCCGATGGCGTCTGATTTACTGGAGTAATAGCACTCATTTTTACCACTCTGTGTCTCATCCGTTACGAAACACTGTCCGTCGGTTACGTAACACAATAGCCCTGATTACTTACCATCGATGGGGTCGTTAGCATCAGTTCCACACTCTGAGGAACTGGAGTAGTAACACTCGTTGGGGTATAGGTAACCACAATGTGTTCCACCCGTCACACAGCACGCACAGTCCGTACGGGCCGTATCGTAAGGACAGGCGCAACCGGTCTTGGTTGCAGTGTACTGTATCGGTGCTATTAACAAAGAATATTAAACAAAAACATCAACGGTTCAATGTCTTCCACAGTAAAAAAAAAAAAAAAAAAAAAGTGAGAAAAATAAACAACAGGCGAATGAAATTGCTCCTTGCTAGGTTAACGTGTATACATCTTGATACATTTTAAAAATGGTCTATTGAGGCTGGTCTTGACGAAATTACTAGCTCGCTTCCATGGCCTAGTGGTTAATTCACCGGTGTTCTAAACTCGGTAGGACTACACTGGTCCAATTTTCAGCAGAGACGAATTTCGCAATCACATGGATATGCAGCAATTGGGAACTTCGAAACCTTATTCTTTTACGTTGATAACTTTCAATTATTATCATATAGGCCTATAATAAGTAACAGGAGAGAAATTTGCAATGCACATAGGCTACTCCTACTTACCCCTGCAGACGCTGACCATACTGGTGGTACAGGGATAATCATCCCATGTTCCACTGGAGTACATCCCTCCACAGTTGGTCGCAAAGTTTCCATTTGGTTCTCCAGAGTTCCAGTTGGTATAACTCAACGAGCTACCATCCCACCAAGCCCAAGTTCCGTCACTCTCAGTGTCTGTAATACCTGCAATTTAGAATGAATACTCAGAGTTAGAATGGAACATTTTATTGCTTTTACACCCACGTGTGGTATTGGCCTATAAAGGAAGATTCCCGTGCTCTAGCTGCCCCACCACTGCCCCCTCCCCCAAAGGGACGTTTTGTTAACCTAAATCTTCTAGAAATTACAACGCCATGTTCAGTGCTAACTGTATTTGCCAACGATGATTTGTTTGTGCGTTTGTGTATGTGTGTGTGTGCATTTGTGTGCGTGTGCGTGTGTGTGCATGTGTATGTGTGTGTGGGTGAATATCTTACGTAGGAATTCTTTCCGAACTTACAATTCAAAGATAGGATTTGAATGTGTGCCTAACTGAATGCAATCTGGATTTATATCGCACTGAATACAACTACGACATCTTTAACAGCTTTCCGTATCCTCATCTACCCCGTCATCAGATTCAGGCTTCCCCGCATATATGCATGCACATTCTCCACTCCTTAGGGATCATTCAACCCTCAAAATGATATGAATAACTTTGGCATCCCATAGAATGCCATATAACTCATGCGTGAAGAGAACCAATGGCGATAAAATACTTTTCTTGAGGATATAGTTGATTTGCATCGAGGTGCGTTGATAATAATTAAAACAACAAATATCAGGGAATTACAAAAAATAGTGCAGTGAATTAAAACAAGATAACAAATTGTCCGTTGTAGTCAATTTTTTTTGGTCAACCCATTGCCTCTTGGATCTGGTTGGATCCTGTATTAAGCATAATTGCAGAAGAATTTATTATCCAATGATTTACTATTATTTAAGTCTTACCGATATGTGCCTTCGAGTAGCCACTCATAACGCTCGCAATGTGGCTGTTAACACCGCTATCTGCAATACTGGCCAGATGACCGCCCTGAGTCTCGCAGTAAGCCTGAGCATTCCCCCATGTCAGTGTATCACTGTTGAGATAGTAGCAAGCCGTACTATACTGCTGCCAGTTCTTACGACATTGGGATGCGCCGTCTGGATTGGAGAAGATGTAAGAGATATGAAGATGAGAAGATATGAGATGGCGAGGTAAAGAAAAGATGGAACATTGGAACATAATTATATTACATCAGTTTGTCAATCAAACAACTTTGCCCCATTAACTTTATGCCCAGTCACCTATCTTTCTGTTTAATTTGGATGTTGTTTTTCTTTTTATTCGTTTTTGTTCTATGAGATTTATTTCGGAATAGGCCATTTTTCGTAACGTAACCAAATTTAATGCATAAGTCTTTTTGAAGTGCCTCAATACAAATAATTTAATTCACCTGATAAAGAATAAAAGTATTTTAATTGACGGACACAATCCGAACTGCATACAATAATTGTTGCCAGGTAGGACAAACATTATGGCTTGACCTACCTAGCAACACTTAATATATGCAGTTTGCACTATTGAAATACTATTATTCTTATCAGGTGCATGAAATAATTTGTATTGAGGCACTTCACAAATACTTATTTATTAAATGTGGTTACATTACGAAAATGGCCTATTGTGCAATACTTAAACGGTCCCTTGAAATCTAAAACCAGCCAACGGTAATAGATGGGTTTACTAATAGATGCACATTGATTGATGTTTCTTTCCTGGGGACCTATTGACGAGTTATGTTATTAACCTGTTATTAATGAATACACTACAACTCTTGAAAGCCAGTCTACGTACTTTACGCGTTGCTATGTAGGCAAGCCTCGGGTAATCTTTCAGGTTGTCTAGAGCAACCTTTGTTCAAAAAGTATGCATAACATTTGAATATGTTAGTAACTGGTTTATTATGCTTCATATTTTTTAATTTGGTATATTTAAAATTAAACTTTAGACCCGTCATTTAGAAACATATCTATAATGGTACATGGAGTATGAAAAATAGCAATAAACATGAACATGTGTACTTAATATCTTAAAATAGAAATAAATAATAATATAATAGTATAATAGTATAAGCCAGTTTATAGTTGCAGTCTGAGCATGAGCAGATAAAGGTCATTGCAGACTAAATTGTGGAACACACGGAGACAAAATACTGGATACGTGCTCATGAGAGTTATGAAATCATTATTCATTCATGCTCAAGCAGTGCAGTCCATGATACACAGGTGGAAGTATTCTTTGAAAAGGGGAAACAAAGGCTATTTATGTAGCACCTCCATCGCTGTAGGAGTTATTATTTTAAAATGTAAAAAGTGGGACCTCTTCATGTTTTAAAGATCTGTGAATATTCGGGGTCTTTTGGGAAATGTGCTATTAAACAGTGAACTGGTCTGTTGTGACAGTGGTGTTATGGTCGAAGAATGGATATACTTCCACTTTGGAAATGCTTCAAAGTAAACTGAAATATGCGCTATTAATAACGGAATATTATGGTTTTATCGTATAACACAACATCATTGGAATGAAAAAGTATTGTGAATTACTAGATCATATCAAAAACAAGTTCGGAACTTCAAATTGTGATAATTGAACTAAGCCTTTCTCTTCGCAGTGTTTGTTTCACCCACATCGGCTGTAAGTAATTTGGATAATTAAAATGTCGAGTTCATAGCATTTAGAATTTATACAAGACTATATATATTTTTCTTTAACCAGACGATCAGCCTTTCAAACAATACAAGCGTCAGCTTTACAAAATGAAATAAGAACGATGCGTTATGTTTGTACTTACCAACTGCAGCTGCCGTGATCAGGAGCACCAACGTCCAAACTATTTACATAAAAAAAACAACGTGTAAATCTCGTGAACTCAATTTTTCAAAAAATATGGGACCATCTATATTTCGCATTTATTTTTGTATCGGAAACTTAATCAATTTTTGTTAACATATAAAATGTAACAGCAGTTTTCTGGATGCTTTGAAAATAATGATATTGTGTATACTCATCCAATTGCAAAGGAATGTAAATCCATTGTGTTATATGAATGTAACATGTACAATGCCAACGAAAATTTGAGGGAAAGCCAGTTTGTTATTTCAAGGGAAAACGTCACAAGTATAAATGAATATTCACAGCTCAGTGTTTCAACTAATAATCACATTCTTTGATATCAATAAACTAGCGAGAAATAATGTCGATTCGTTAGTGAATATGAAGTGTTTTTAGCGTAAAAAGTTTAACATAACTAATGCCTTGTTCAAATAAACATGAATAATGCGAACTATTTCAACAACAAAAACACCAAAAAAAATCCGCATACTATGTATGCACATTCAACCCTATCTAAATGTCATGACAGGATGTTATTTTCGCATCCCAAAGAATACCCCAAAACTCCTGCGTGAAGGAATTAGCGTAAGTAATTCAACATAACAAATGCCTTGTTTCAAACAGACAAACACGATGCGAACTTTATCAAACAAAACCATGAATCTTGCCCAGTTTTCAAGCTGGTAAAACTTGGTCTCTCACTTTGTCTGCTCATGCTGCACACAAAAAGGATATAATGTGATATCGTATACAGATTCTATAATTACCTGAGAAGCTCATTGTGAAAAAACCATGGATAAATCTGACGATTTATGAATGTGCTCCCGTCAGCTACGCAGTTCGAGCAACTCTCCTTGGGACACATCCAATATAACTTAGAGATGGGACGTGTTATGTGAGGTACAAACGATTACTCAGACAAAAGAAATATTGATTAAAAACCTCCCTTGTGCTCCACTCTCTTACAGCGACACTTGTATCAAAGGCCACCTTTCAGCGTGCTCCTAAAGAAAGAAGGACCCTTTCTTTATCTTCTCTGACGGCAGCCATTTCTTTGAGACGTCAGTGGAGTCGGTAGTGACAAAACACTCTTGATAAATAATATAAGAGACGGTTGTGCAAAACGCACACATCGCTGGCATTCACGACCTGTAAACATCTTCATAATTTTTACGTAAACAATAAACATTACGTTTTCTCTTACACTATAATTTTCTCTTATTTCAGATCATTTTATATCTTTCCTCTCTTTTTCTATCTCTCTCTCTCTCGTTCTTTGTCTATCCACTCTCTTTTCACCTAATTACTACTTTCTATCACTGTTTTCTATTTAATCCCCTCCCTTTCATCATCATCATCATCATCATCATCATCAGCGTCATCTCTCTCTCTCTCTCTCTCTCTCTCTCTCTCTCTCTCTTCTTTCGGTCCCCTCTCGTCTTTTACAACATGTACACACTATTCATATTGTTTATTTCTCCCTTAATATCATGCAGCTGCAAATATGCTTTCATTCTCGTCCTTTTCATATTAAGTCTGTTTTTATTTTTGAAAAGTCGTCTAGTGATTTTACAATTGGAAGAAATTGCTATTTGCTAAGCACTCCTTTATAAATGCCATTCTACGTTCAATCCAAATGGTCAACCAGTCAAGAAGATAGGATAAGATAGTATTCATGTCAGAGTTACTATGATTGCATAGATATCTTTTATTCATTGTCTCGATATTTCTCACTTATTTATTTACAAATAATTTACTTTTCGAGGATAAATAACAAAAAATATTCTAGATTTTACAGATAACCCGTGTTATGTTACAACTTTCTCAATCACTGTGCACATTCGATCCCACTTGTTCAAAATGCTCTTAGATGTGCCTTCTCATTTCACTTTGGATGGTACAACATTGATTGAATGGCGATCAGAGCAGCGTTTCATGGAATAGTCATGATGACAAGTATTTCAATGGGATGTCGGTGAAACTTGTACTTGTGACGGTATGTCCCGATATGTACAGTATGTACAGGTGAGCAGTGAGGGTGTGCGCGGAATGAGGGTGATTGTTCAGCTTTGTGTATGAACGATGTCACCAGCTTCTTAGGAACATGAACCAAGGAGCCATCCAAACTCCCCTTATGCACCTCTCTGTTCACTCTCTAGCACTGTATGATATATTTTAGCTATACAGTAGGCTTGCGGTTGCACTATGCGAGAGAGAGGGAGGATTTATTAGCTAAGCTAATATAATAGTTTTGTGTTGTGGATACAAAAGCACTTTCCAACAAGGCAACTATTGGGCTACAAATGCATTGATCTTTATCTAGATTTTAAAATAAATAAAAGAAGCAAGGCCGCTTCTGTTTAGTTATAGAGGCAACACAAATATCTCTCCTTTCTAAAAAAATTAAAATCATGACTTTCGACGATAGGATAAATTCAATTTACAGCGAAACTTTAATTGCAAAAAAGTGAGAAAAAATTGTGTAAATTTAAATGAATCATTGGATTCGTACCCAGATTTGTCGTTTATCGCTCATTGCAGCACAAAACATGTTGTTTCATGCAATAAGAATTTATTAAATCCCAAGTGTCTCTTAATTTCTTTTCACTTCCATTTTTCCTTACAGTCCGTCTATTGATCCATACATGTAATCTCGATCAGCCACCAAGTCATCCTCATTGGTTGTATGTGATGCTCGGTTGAGAACGCAAAGCTTTCTTGGTGCGCGAGATAACTTGTGATAGTTGACGGAAATACAACCAGCATCCTTCAAACAGTGGTTGGTACATTCAGACAAGGTGTATGCCTCCAGCTCGTAGAGGGCGTGGTTTTTTAGACGGTAGTTCTTCTTCAGGATAAAGTTTGCTTTGCGGCTCTCAGAGTTACGCACAACTAAAAAAGAGAGAAATAAAATGGAACACAACGTATACATTATGAATAATTTATGAAAGAAATATTAAGAAATAACACCTAACTTTAATTCAAAGATGATTTTTTTTGGATGGTATTCAGTTAAAGTAGATAACGACTCGAGTGCTACACAATGCTTTTAATATGATTTCTTAGGACACATATATTCTTACATTTTATAACATAGTTTGTTTACATGGTAAGACACCATATTTGAAAATTCAACATTCATGACTGTGTCAAAATGTTGGACAGTACGCTTTAAGTTTAAATACGGCTTGAATCAAATCAATATAGACCCAAGATAAACTCACATGCCACCTCTGTAGTGCCATTGATGGGTGGATCAGTCTCTAGTCCGACTCCCTGCTCGGTATAAGCCTGGATGATGAATTCGAAGGTGGTGTCGGCTGCGATGCCCGTTAGGTGGTACGTGTAGGTACTCAGACCTGTGACGTCAATCGTGACGTTGTTCGTATTTTGCTTGTTTCTCGGCCAGTAGTGAATCTAGAATGTTCAATAGTTCGAGAAGTGGTTAAGACATAAACATGTTTTAGAGAGTGATATGATATTCCTGTCACACCGACCCCCGCCTATGAGACCAACCAACACCAGACAGGACACAGACCTGACAATAAATGACATCGTTCAGAATGGCAAGGTTATCGGGCAGTTTGGAGTCGGTATGGCAGTGTGACTAGGAAATGAAACTGATAAACAAAATTGATTAATTGAAGATTTATTAGTGGATGCTCCTTCTCTTAAATGGGTGTTGTTGTTGTAGATCACCATATTTTTAGAATCTTTGTTGAGTTCAGGAGCCGGCAGTCATGATTGGACAATAAGTCAATATTAGATAGCAACCCACCAACCACGACTCAATGTGATACCTCAAAATGGCAATAAGACTCCTGAGAACATTCCCTGTACAGCTTTTCCCTTCAGGACAACTGCATCTCAGGATAACCACCCCAACCAACTTACTGCGCTGGGAAGGAACATTGCACTCTAAGACGAATATAGCAGGACAGGCTACTTCGCCATGTTAATATTGAACAAGTGCCCCTCAACTGCCCCATATACAAATTAGCCCCTGGAGAAACTTTACCCAGAAAACTCCTCCATAAACGCAAGCACTCCCTATACGACAAATACCTCACCTCACAGAACAACTACTCCAGGACAATTATCCACGCACAACGGCGCGGAAAGATGATTCACATGGAATGACTGCCCCAGCCCCCGGACAACTTCCCCCGGACAACTATTCCGTAGTGGACAACTAATTACTAGAGAGCAAACGCCCCATAAAACAACTACACGAGGGAAACTCCCCCAGGAAAAGCTCAGGACAACCAAGGCGCGGATACAGGGGGTGAAGACAGCGAGCCCTGCCCCCCTGCCAAATAAAACACGAACATTTTCCTCTTTTTTGACCAAGGGGGGGGGGGGGTAGGGCAAAATAGCGGCCGGCACGATTTTCAAATTTCCGGGGGCAAAAAAAAGAAGGGAAAAAAAATAGTGCTCACTACGCTAAGGACGATACTTACGTAATATCCCGTGATATCCGAGTTTTGTTGAGCCTGTGGTAGAGCGCTCCAGGAGAGGAGTATAGCGGTGGGTCCTCTTACATCGAGGCTGAAGGATGGTGGATAGGATGTCGGGACTAGGGTAACGAGAACATTGATGCACACGTACATAAACTTTTAAAAAAAATAAGAAAGCTAGTGACATTTGCGAATATGACAGTGATATATTTCGTAATCTGGAAACTTTCTATAAATTAGGGTATAAAATTTGGCCTTAAAGGTAATGTAAAGTTTTGGGAATTTTTTTAAAATTGGATGTATAGTAATTGTTTTAAAAATTGATATATTTGGATGCCCCGTGGATGTATTATAAGCACTAGAAAAGTTAGTCCCTAAAACACTTCTGCTTTCGAGAAATTGAATAATCAAACATTTACCGGTGCTCCCGGTAAATTTCAAATATTTCAAATAGCGCCTTAGGCCATTCCATGGTAGCTGCGACCATGCAAATCTCAGAATATGCAGTTCTGATATATAATTTTCTAACGGGAATAGCAAAGTGGTCGATTGTAATCCAGAAACATCGTTTTAAAGCTAAAGTAATATCAGTCTTGAGAGGGCGCTATACAACATAAAGAGTTTATTATGTACAATGTCATCATTTTGGACTCGATTTCAACCGCGACAACGATCATTGTATATTGTAAAATCGAATTATGCTTATAATATGTTCATTTAAACCAAATTCATGATCCCATACCAAAACTTTGTATTACCTTTTACTTGATTTCTTGAAAGTCTCATGTTAGAAGTGTATTCAGAGTACAACATAACATAATTTACCTCATTATAGGTCAAGATGAAATTAAAGATAAAAAGAATCTTCTGTCCTACAGATTTTTTGCTGGACTGAACAACATTTAAATGTTCAGCATTATCAGCATAAAGATATTTAGCTGTGAAGCCGGGAAGGTTAGATGGCACGTGTGAAAACTTGAATGTTGACAATCTACAGAGAAGAATTCCCAGGTCTTGGGTATGTCAGAAAAAATAGAATGTTATAGCAATTTACAAAAACAAATAAATAAAAAAAAATATCTTGGAGAATAAAGCTCATCTACAGTAGAATAAAACCGATGGCTTACGAGTATCTTTTTCACAGATGTAGTACAAAGCTGTCGAGCAGTCTTCGTCGTTATAGCTCTGAGCTGCGGAGAACTCGACACAATGCTGCCCCGATGCTGCCCCGTCAGGCTTGCCGCTGTCCCACTGCGAACCATCTGATGGGTACTCAGAGATCTCAGTCTCCCATCGGTATGTTCCTACAGATGCAGAAGAGATAGAGAGAGAGAGAGAGAGAGAGAGAGAGAGAGAGAGAGAGAGAGAGAGAGGGAGAGAGAGAAGAAAGAGAGAGAGAGAGAGAGAGAGAGGGAGAGATAGAGAAAGAGAGAGGGGGAGAAAGAGAGATGAAGATATACACAGAGAGAGAGACAGACACAGAGAGAGAGCAAGATGGTCATATCAAGTTATTGTTCAGTTAGATGACATAGAATCTGAAGGAAACAGCATAAATTGATTTTTCCACAAATTATCTGATTGATGATGATACAAAATAGAAATGGTAATACTAACCATCTGACATGTATTTGAGTCCGATCCAAAATCCCCTGTTTGAATACCGATAGCGATAATGGTCGACCAAAAAATTGAATTCTCTCTCGGTTTCTATGGTTACCAAGTCTCCTCCTAGATCCTGACAGTAGTCCTGCGCATCAGACCAAGACTTGGTGTTAGTTCCAAAGAAGTAGCAGCTATGGTCATCCCAGGCCCAGTCGCTGCTATCACACAGCGGGTGAGTGGTTGGCTGGGCAATAACTCCTGCTCCTGTAGAGAAAAATTAGATTATAACAAATAGTTATTTGATAGTACGTCAAAAACAAACGGGGAATTTTTTATTTAATTTCAGATGACATTTACACACAAAAAAAAATATTTTAAAAAATCGTTGATTAATAAAAAAAAATTAATTTAGACATATAATATACGTTCGAAATGCAGCCTAAAGATAGTCATGTGCGCTTCACAGGGCATTCCTAAAATCAACTAAAACGAAGGTTGTTTTGAAAATACGCAAAATTGAGAATCTTAAATAGGGCAAAGATAAACCTAATGATGTCATGCTTTAAAGGTACTATGTCCCATTTGCAGGCCAAAAAAATGAAAAAGTTAAATTCCAACTGCATTTGAAAGATAATACTAATTTAGAACTTCCCTAAAAAAGGTGGGGCTTGGAAATGTCTTCAAGTGGGAAAATAACGACTATTAGTTGACAAATCGACTTTAGGGCTATAGAGCCCAAAAGTAATAGTCTTGATTTTCAGACAATTGTAACAAATGGTCATACGTTTTATGCTGCGAAAAGATTCAATCAGTTTAATCTTGGCCATCACAAGAAGTGGGTTATTGATGTAGACAAATGTTCATGTACCCTTTACAACTCTTTTCATGTATGTTATTACCAAAGGAGAAAAAAAGCCAGTCAGTCACTCAATAGTGTCTAACAGTGAAGTCTAGCAAGTAAACGGGTTTCCTTGCATAATTTGAATATGAGGACACTGCTAACGTATATATTTCACAGATAGGAAATACATTAAATATTCATAATTCCTGCAAAGTTCTACAGAATTTGAGGTTAGCTGCAAAAGGGACATAGTACCTTTAATGATAACACTTTAATGGGCTTTGCATTTGCTCGGCGACAATTTCTCTCAATGTGGTACTTTTCTACTTACTTACTTACAATCTTTTCCGTTTTATTTTCGGAGATTACCCAGATCGGTGAGAGAGAGAGAGAGAGAGAGAGAGTGGGTGTGTGTGTGTGCGTGTGTGTGTGTTCGTGCGCGTATGTGCGTGCGTACGCGTGGGTGCGTGTGTGGGTGTGTGTGTGTGTGTGTGTGAGTGTGTGTGAGTGGATGAAAGAGAGAAAAAGGACAGGGAGATGGGAAATGGAATGTGAACAAAATTAGGATACGACCCCTCAGCACCTCCCCCTTCATAAATTTGTCCTTGCTTACCTCGCATTTCATCCATTAGACTCCCGCCCCCCCCCCCCCCTCCCTTGATTGCGTCCCCTCGAAGTCTTGATCCACGCCACGCCTCTATTTAATTCGACTCGCTTCGATTATGAAGCAGGTACTGAAGTGTTGTCGTATACCAAATTATTTCTACACCAAACTCCTTACAATAAAATCCCACCGCTGCCACCAAACATGGCCCAGGACACTGTTTCATGAATCATTAACAAGTTACAATATTTTGTATAAGCTACTGAAATCATGGCATTTGATTGGCTGAGAGCAAATTTGTCATAGGAATTTATCATTTGTTATTGATATCAGATTAGTTTTATGGAACGGGCTCTGGTTCACACAACGTGTTATCAATAACAAGAGTGATAATTATATGGCAAGTGTGCTCACATCTAATACAATTAAATGGTTTCAGTAGCTTATTTTCAATCATTGCAACTTTTTATTTCATACAAATTATAATGAAACGGGGTGTAAATCAAGCATCAATGATAAATTATTTCTAAACCAATTAAAGAATGCCCTCGAAATTAGCTAAAATCTCATGTTAGATTAATATCTTTAAATAGAATCCACTTTCGACAAATCAGTTTGTGCTATTTCGGGTATTATCAACATTTCAGTCTTTCAGAACAATATCATATGTCAACATTTCTGTAGAAGCATACGTAACATTCTACTAATATATTAGTAAATTATCAAGTGCAATCCTAGTGTCCTTTATTTACCTATGGCCTCTTTGCAGAAGAAATGTTGTCCAGTCTGTACTGTTGAATCAATGTATTCATCCGACGAGAATACATACATGAGAACCCCGTTTTCACTGATTCCTCCATTTGGTTCTCCGCTTTTCCAGTTTGTGTAAACTGCGTCATTACCTTCCGCATCCTTCCACGTACCTGGCAACAATAAAGATAACGATAAAAGTAATGATTATAAAATAAATAAATAAATTATACGATTGCTATCGTAACATTATACAGATAATACTGACAGAAGAAAAGATATACTTCCTATGAGCGCTTTATAGTTTAATGTAAAAAATGTAACTTTTGAAGAATATCTCAAATCAAACAGCGAGTAATTGAAAGGGTGACAGAAAAAATGAAATGGAGACTAAAGAAAGTCTTTTACTCTACCACTCATTTATGTGTTAGCACATTTCTTTGAATGTTTGCTAAATCAAGCAATTTACGACTAGTACAGCTATGTCATTTAATTCAGTTTTTTTCGACGAAAAATACGTACCTTCTTCTTCGATGTCATTTAGTCCAATCCAGAATACAGTGACAGCCCTCTGTGCCCATCTAAATATTCTTTTTACATAGTCATACTCGTCTAAATCTGATGGGGTCACGAGATGACCTAGAAAATGAAACATGGCAAGAAATAAGAGCAATTTACTCTCTGGCTGTGTCTTTAAGATTTCCATATTAAGGAAATAAATGCGTTATTGGGACAAAACGTATAATTATTCAATTACATTATCTTTTAAAAAGTTATAACTAGATATTTAAACGAAATGAAATTCTTTTTAAAAGGTTTTTTTATTTTGCTCTTATGACAATTTTTTCTTCACGAAAGTTGGAAGATACTCAAATATTGGTGGTGAACTTAGTACGCTGGACATTTTTTTCTGGGTCACCCGAAGAGGGAGCTATTGTAGGAGAATGATCAGAGTATGGTGGTTATCGGTGAATACTCTTGAATATAAGAGAGGTCTTTGGCCCTGTTCAAAAAAACTTGTTATCTATAACAAGTTACAATAACTTTTTAAGCTACTTGAATCCTTGCATTTGATTGGCTGTGAACAAATTTGTTATAGATACTTGTTATTGAAAAAAATATTAATAAAAAACATGGCCCAGGATAGATCCTTAATGGGTGCTTAAATCCTTGGACAAATTGTATTAAATGGGTTCCTGGCGATGCTGTAGTAATAACACTTACAGGGCCCGAGGAAAAGCATTTTTTTTAAAACCGATATGGCTACCCTGGGTAAATAAGACCGAAGTGTTGCCATTATTGATATTAATTACGAGATACATTATTTGATATTAACTTTGAGAGAGTCACACTATTATACAGCACTCACCTCCTTGCTGTTGGCAATATATCTCTGCATTGAGCCAAGTATATAATCCATGGTAGGGTCTATAACAGTAAGAACCCCGCTGTAGCCATCCGTTTGAACAACTGTTTGACTCTACAAAGAAAAATATTACATTTCTTAAATTGCCAAGGAAACCATGGATAAAAGGGATAATTTGGATATATGCAAATTATGGTTAGACGATATTGGGCAGGTAGCCGCGTAGCCAGGGGGGAGGTGGGGGTGGTCGCCCCAAAAAACGCCGGCCCCCAAAAAGAGAGAGAGAGAGAGAAGAGAAAAAAAATGAAGAGGACGAAGGAAGAAAAGGAGCAAAAAGTCGAGAACGGTACAACGAATCGTCTTCTTTCTCTAATAATTTAATGAAATTCCTCTCTCCCTGCACCCACCCCCTCTCCCAGGGAGCGCGCTTTGCGTGATTACTACCGCCCCCCTATAATAAATTCCTAGCTACGCGCTTTGTGGGCAGGAAGGTCAGGTTGCTATTACACCTCTGTAAACTATTTAGTCTTCACAAAGATCAATTAGACGAACATATTAGACGGGAAAATGCACCTTGACATAATGACTTAGAAAAAGAAAGAAAGATGGAGAAGAAGAAGGAGAGGAAGAAGAAGAAGAAAAAAAAGAAGAAAAAGAAGAAGAAGAAGAAGAAGAAGAATAAGAAGAAGAAGAAGAAGAAGAAGAAGAAGAAGAAGAAGAAGAAGATGAAGAAGAAGAAGAATATGAGTCCAAAAAAAGTTTACACCTAGAAAATTGATAATTATTTAAAAAATCATCTATGAACAGTAAATTATTATACATATTATGAAAGAGCGTTTTATCCCAAATCATTTGGTACCATTTTTGTGTGGTATGTGTTCACACTTGGATGAACAGGAAGCATGGTTTGCGAGAGTGCAAAAGTCGACTTGCGCCAAAGTTGCTTATGTGATGTTTGAATAAAACAATTGGGATTTCGGTATTAATTTGGTCTTTGCAGATCCAACTAACATCCCTAAAAAAATTAATCATGCCACACATATAAAAATAACGAATATCAAATATTAACGAACATTTGTGCGCGTGTGTGTGGGTGTGTGTGACTTTGCCCTTTGCACAAAAAATATAAGATGCATTTCATTTGATACATTCAATTCATTCTCTCACTCCGTTGATCCCAACATAATACATACTGAAGATTCACTTTGGCGCAAGTCGATTTTTGCACTCTCGCAAACAATGCCTCCAGTCCATCCAAGCGTAAACACATACCACACAAAAATGGTACTTTTTTTTGACTCACACGGTATAGGCCTATATCTCAGCACTCCCGGTGAAAAAATCGTTCCCAGGGCCCTGCCATCCCCCGGAAAAATACCTCCTCGAACTTATGGGCTTTCGTATCAATGCAAAACGAAGGGTATTATCATCATATTCATTGTTGATATATCATATATTTTAGCCTATCATGTATGATTGTTGCAGGCACAATTACGACTATTATACCTTAAAAGATATTTATCAATGAGTTTTTTTTCTTCAATCATCTATAGAGAAAAATGATTTTGAACAGAATACGTTGCTTACCTAAATAAGGATCTACCATGGGGTCCACTGAAAAAGAAAAAGAAAAAGAATAGATAATTTTTGTCTTCTTCTTATAGTTCTTTAAATAAACCTGTAAAAAGACGTCGACTACACATTAACAAAAAAAAGTTATACTTTCCATCATATTGCAACAGAGTGAAAATACATAACATTATCAAAAAACATATAGCTCCGTTTAGTCTTATTTCACAACGCCCCCTATCGTCAGAGTCAGCAGCCATACATGTTAGCCTATGGAATTGTACCCAAAAAATCGTTAAAAATTCTTTTTTTGTTTTGTTTAAACGAAAAGCACATCCACCCCGACTTACGTTATCACTAGCTCTTTCATTGGAACCCTCATGTCTCATTGACTTTTGAAAGTTCACCCACCGTAATTTGATCAAAATAGGTTGCAAGCTCGTCATTGCCTATAATACACATGTGAAACAAGTCGAACTTTGGACTCAGTTTGCCAAGCGATTTTCAGATTATAGGTCAAGCACACGAAGCATAAGAAGCATGAATTATCATAGATCACTTCTGCTTGGTTCATTATGTTCATTTCATCCAACCTCCCACCGTAATTTTTCCATTTAGTAAAAGTAAACATTTTGCCGAGGTAAGACAATACAGCCTTTTAGTACGTAACGTATAGTGAAAGGGAATGGGCGATGATCCGTCCAGGAGGTAGGGGTCAGTGGTTTGTGCTGGCAATGTTCCAGCGAGCGAAAATTAGACAATCGGAGCAATATGGATGACATCCACTTTGACACATAGGAACAAAACAGATTCTTTCGCTTTGGTTTTACTTTTTTTTCTCATTAAGATCAACCGCGGATTTCTCATTCACAGGGTTTCAAGATCAACGGGGACCATTTAAAAAACAGAAAGCACCACACAGGGGGTCACTAGATGTGGGGCAAGTTTAATGGAGGTGCTACCCGTGCCCCCCCCCCCCCATATATTTGACTCACTTATTCGGACAAGGAGATGGTAGTCAGCCCCGCTGGTGGTGGTGACGGTTTGATCATTCTCTTCGCTCAAATAGCAACCGCCATCTGATGGATGAAAGTCGAAAGAGCGACACAAGAAGCTCGTAGCGGCCACACAGGCGGCGGCGCACTGGTTGACGGTGAGACCTGACTGATGGTCATTGTTATAACCCGATAGATGCCTCTCTCTGATTAACATGAAATCTGTACGGTCAGTGACGATGTCTGTATAAAGGAGTTAAATATAATTTGGAAGTGAAATGAATATTGATACTTATCTATTAAATCATTTTATAATTCAGCGTATGTTTGTTAAAAATATTAGGAAATGAATTATTACGAACATTTCGTAAGCCCTATACTTTTAGACATATTTGTATAAGTGCAATGGCTGTTCCTTTCATATTTAAGAAATATATTTTTAGTTAAATGCAAAATATATTCTCGCCCCCTGAAACATTTCCATTGGCATATTTGTTCATCTCTCATTAGACTAATCTATGAATATGGGTATATATATATATACATTCGTCAACAAAAGGGTTTTATATTTAAAAAACACGATTCACATTTACATTTAATTCTCTTAACAATTTTGGGGGTTAATTTTCCAATGATTGGTATGTCACTGCAATCCGTTTTTCTTAGTCATTCTGTAACAAACTTACAAGATTCATCTCCCTTGCAGTAAAGGGGTTCTAGTGTATAGTACCCTGACTCGCTGGCGTCTCCTGTATCACCAAACCTCATTTCAGTGACCGGTAAGGTAGTCTTATCGGTAAGATACCCCGAGTCCTCTCTCCAGTTATTGTCGTTGGTATTGCAGTTGCAGTGGTGACCGTTGGTACAGGTGCCTGAGGATTGAGACGATTAAAAGTCAATGCATAAATACATGGGGCCGGTGATGCATTTCTGTTTCCCTTTATCGTGATCAGGGCCCGGACTTCTACAGAGTTGCGATTGATCCTAATCAATCGCAAGTTTAAAGTCTCATATCTCTTATGTACATAGTTGCAGTGGCGGATCTAGGGTGGGGGCTTCGGGGCACGGGCTCCTACCCCCTAGCAAAAAAAAAAAAAAAAAAAAATAGATGGTAACCACAATTTAACCTTTTTGTTGTTGCTCAAGGGGGGGGGTGGAGTAAAAAATAGTGCTCACTGCTCCGGCCTCGCCGACAAAGTAAAATAACCCGAAAGGCCGGCCTCATATCACGTAACTTCTTTTCAGCTCGGCTTGAAGTTTGGGCGACCCCATTTTTGATCAGGTGATTAGATACATGTACGTCATTGTCCGGGAATTTTGATCGAAGAAAAAAAGGAAAAATCCATGGAAAACGGCAAGAAAACATATAGGCCTACAGCCGAGGAGGCTCGTGCACTAACACTAGGAGATCACGCGAAAGACAGTGACGACTCTTAATATTGTCAGAGTAGTGATTTTGAGGATGAAATTGATACGGAAGATGAGGTTGCAGCACCTGCGTAGGTAGATTTAGCGGTAGGCCTACCTATGCACGTCCAGCTCGGTACAAGCGGGACAGATCATTGTCAGTGTAAGTGTGCCGATGGAGCAATATTTAAGCCCAAATAGAGAAAGTATCTTTCATAGATTTTGACGTATTTTTGACATAGGTCAAATATGTGCATAACTTTTGAAATAATTCAGGGTATAACTCACGAAATATGAAAATAATTCAGGGACTCACCAGAGTTCCCGCAAGCGCACTGTCCGCTATCAGTCGTGGCACCGCCCCAGTAATTCTTCTGGTTGCCATCTCTGTCGTACCAGGCGGTATAGCCAGTCATATAGGAACCGTGACATTCGTACTATAATCCAAGAAAACAAAACAAACACATAGTAATGATCTGTATCATATCTCCGAAAAAGAAATCGATTTGGACACGTTGCGTTGAACACATTACAAAATATTGATGTATTTTGTTGCCATGTTATTACGTACATTTTTCCCCTTCATACTTTCTCGTAAGCTTTACCCGTTATAACAATAATGTGAAATATATTAAATAATTATCTTGAACTGGTTGTATTTCTAGCAATCTAAATGAAGAACAGAATTATAAAATTCCCGTACTTCTAATCATGAAAACAGGAGGGGAAAAGTTATGATTCAGGATTAAAAAAGAGAAAAGAGCGATTTGATTAATTCCACAGGGTGAAAGAGACACAAAAAGAAAGGCTCTAGCAAAGTTACTTTTAAATTGTTTAAAATTTGAACTATGAACTGAAATGTGCCGATTTAATTTATTATCTTACCTTGATGTATTGAGAACACGATGAACTGATATCTGCTGTCATGGCAACCTGAGCGATACTTCGATCTCCGTAACGGATTGATCGTGACCCACTTCGAGCGCTCTCATATCCAGTAATTAGTGATCGATATTCCTCCTGATGGGACATCATCGTAATGCCTGGAGAAAAAAAGTTTGATATTCACTTTAATGAGCCTTTGTCGAGTGGTTTGAAATTTGGCGGACTGAAGATTTGAAGGTCATATATTCGAGTACCTTCACTTTGGCTAGACACTATGAACATTTTCATTTGCAGAAATTCGTATTGTGGTACATAATCGTAATATCTAAAAAAAAAAAAAAGGAAAATGAAATTCATTTTCATGCACGGATGGTTTACCACTTGATTGACTGAAGATGCGAAGGTTATAGATTCAGGTTTTGGCATGGCATTTATTTATTTTCCTTTGGCAAGACCCTAAGAATAGCCTCATATCAAGAGATCAATAATCGTTATGAGTTACGATTATAAACCATAAAATTTCTTGTTTTCCTTAGTAGGGGGACCGCGGGCGTTCACCCTCCTTCATCCCGCCCACCCTCTCCCCACGGTACATAGAAGTATACCTGCCTAACACCCAATACTTTACCTGTGCTAGCATCCGTCGTCATATCGCAATATACTCGGAATGGTTCGACACCGGTGTTTCTACCATCAGGATCAATGGTATAGTATCCACTCGATGTGTAGCCTTTACGTTTCCAATCTGCACATGACACTGTAAGATAAGAAGGTGCATGTCAAAGCAAACCTCAGATTTTACTCTTCATTTCTAAAAACACGCAAGGATTTGGGAAATTGCCACGAACATTAAGATACCATCATTTAAATACCACGTAGGCATACGCGAAAATATATATTAATCAATTATGGCAAACATTATATCCTCACTTATTACACAAATAAACAACAAAAAAGAAACAAACAATCAAACAAAGAAACAAACAAACAAACGATAAAACAGACAATCAAACAAAGAAAAAAAACGATCAAACGAAATAGCCTTTTTGGTAAATGTGAGGGGATTTCGTCAAGGCCATATAATAGGTGTAATGGACAAAGAAAATGGTTTTGCCGGCGTCAAAAAAGAGTAGAAATTATAATTTCTCACCTTTATTGAGAGGATATTTACAGATGTAACCATATGAACTCCAACATTTAGCATCATTCCACGTTCCATCTGAACTCCAGCGTAGCGCGGCACAATTTTCAGTCCCACCAGCTGCGTGTAAACAAAAACGTAATGCAAACGAACCGTCAATGTCTTTTTAACTGGCTAATCCTAGTTACGATGATTCATTTCGTTGATGAAAAGAACATTTGCATTTTGTAATCTTTATGGGCAGGTGCGGGTGTGCATTTTTGTGCGCGTGCGTGCGTGTGTTTATATCTTGAATGTAAGCTAATATGCCATGTTCATCCAGCCAGTGATACAATGTATTTATTTTACTACACGGTACCACGGTTCTGAGTGTATATGTTTACATGCCTTCTTTGATCATGTTATTAAGACTGTTACTTTGAACAAATCTGATTCGTCTAATGGATAGGCAATGTAATTTCATCCTATCCCTCTCTCATCGTACTTACACGGTTCTCCAGAATACCAGTTGGTGTAGGACTCCACCGACCCATCGGACCAGGCCCACGTTCCCTCTTCGTCCACGTCTGTGAACCCTATCCAGTAAGTATTCGTCTCGAAGGTCCGTCTTAAGACGTTTAATCACACACAAAAGCAAAATTTAAATTCTATGCGTATTACGATTGAACATGACTTGTAGCGATGAAATGAGAAAAGAGGAACCAAGTTTGTCAATAACTTTGTCAAAATACCGTATTTCTATAAGAACAACAAAAACAAAACAAACAAAAAACACATATCTTAAATAGTGCTTAAAACTTTGAAACATTCCACCTTCTCGCATTTATTTCCAGCTGTTCCTTTTTAGCACCTTTTCAGCAGTCTCTAGACTATTCCCGAAAGTGAAACGTGGTTTATTTGCTAAAAATCAAAGAGCGCCAGAAGTTGGGATATACTTCTTTCCATATATTATTTCCAATATAATTTGTCCAGGCCGAGGCCTGGATGCGCTACTGGTTGATTAACCACCCTACACTAAAAGCATAGTAGCATAGTACTAGGAGCAACTCAAGTATAACTCAAGTATTACTCAAATTATGAAGTTCATAAATTACCTCAATTGAGAAATTATATTTTCATTTGTTATTGACCAGACCCAGTTTCGAAGGTGGTGGTAGGGGGGGGGGGGTGCATACAAAACAAATCCGCCCTAGCCTTCCCATATCACTTTGAAACTTAAATGCCATTATTCTAGTACAAACAAAAAAATTAAAAATGTCTCATTAATTGTCTGTTTTGGTCACCCCCCCCCCTCCCCTCCTTCGCATGCAGAATCCTGGATTCGCCCCTGACAGACCTACCTAGAGAGCTTGAGTAGGAAGTCATTCTCTTCCTGATCAGAGACGCTAACCAAGTCAGCTTCATCGTGAAGAGCTCGACATGCCGCCATGGATTCGCGAAATTTGGACGTCGATTCGACGAGTTTATAGCAACCGTTACGGTTCCGCGCCCAACCAGAGTCGCATATAGTCTGGTCATTATTCCCATCATCTAAACATAAAGAACATGGACATTGCAAAATTGTTTCCTCATTATACAATACATAAATGTATATCAAATTTTGTGTCTTTTATTTTATTACATAGCGCAAACCTAATTAAATACTTCATATTCTCGTCTACCTGTCGTATTCTCTCTCTCTCTCTCTCTCTCTCTCTCTATTTATCTCTCCCTCTCTCACTCTTTCCCTCTCTCTTCTCTCTCTCTCTCTCTCTCTCTCTCTCTCTCTCTCTCTCTCTCTCTCTCTCACTCTCTCTCTCTCTCCCACTTTCTCACTCTTTATCTGAGGGGAAGTAGAACATTCATAGTTTGAACAGTAACGTCTCGTTTTCTTGTTATTCGAAAATGTATTAATTTCCTATTTTGTTTCAACATTTTAAAATAAATGTATATACCTGTACATTACAACACTCAAGATACCTCTAGGCTAGCAGACGTCGTCTCCGCTCATATTTCACGAGTTTAAATATTATTAATATGTTGATGTACTCACCATAGTACTTGTGAAGAAACGCAACCGTGTCAGGGAAACCTCTACTTCCTGCATTGTTGGTAAGAAAATACTATTACTTTGATGTAGCAAAGTCGAAAGGAAAACATAATGGCAAAAGATCAGTAAGGCTGACTTACACATAATTAACCTTAGACTTACAAATTATATTCTATATCTAAAATTCCTAGGCATAGATTGGCTAAGGATTACTCACATGACGTAAAACGTTCCTTCATGAAAAGAAAATTTATATATTGTGACGTCATTTATTTATCGAGGAATCCGAATTGATATTGGCAAATAATTTACTCCTCTTCAAACTTTATTCACAATTAGAATTTTTTGTTCGTACCCGAGTCCCATGTCTGATATGTAGAGGCAGCACTGTAGATGAAGAAAGGTGTACCGTAGTATCCATCCCAACTACATCCATGGTTAGTACCGTAGTCAATGACCACGACCCAACCGGCATCGATAGAGCAACCTCCGTAGTTGCGATTGATGAAGAATCTGCGCTGTCCACTAGTGCCTGTACTGTGTTACAATAAACAATTATTCAATTAAAATCGAATGTCTTCATTTATAACAATTAGCATACATCATTATTGTTGTCGTCGTGGTCGTCGTCATCATCGTCATCATCACCATCATCATCATCATCCATCATCACAATTGTGTCATATTCAGTGGTGGTGTTACTAATTACGGGGGTGGGGCTATTTTTACATTTCAGCCAACTTGTCAGCTCACTTGATCTGACCACCATACCTTCAAATTTGGCCAGAAAAACTTCCCTCAAACACCATAAATTTGTCTGCGCCCCCTTTTAATGTAAGTTATATAATTTTGTTTTGAAAGTGACCTTGTAATGCGTTAATCGATTCTCACCCTGCCATTGATTCGTAGTTCTTGGTATCCGTGTAGATGTCAGTATAAGGTGCATAGCTTATGTAGTTTGTATGATACCAGGACGTGCGACTAGTTCCTGATGTGTCGAACGTCAAGCTCCGGACCTCAACACCGCTAGAATAGTAAGCGAACTTGATCTGTGGTAGAAACGAGAATGTTATGTCTTTTATTCATAGTCCATGCAAAATTGACAAAGCATAATGACAGTGACATTATTTACACATGCCACTGGGAATATATCATGCAGAAAAATAATACAAAGCAAACATAACTCTTTTTGAACAACTGCCCCCTCGTCCACAAATTAAGCAGCCCTACCTGAACCATACCCCACCCCTATTACCAGCCCGTCTCTGATGTAAACAGGGAACATAATTTAAATCAAGTGTAATTTTTAAAAAAATGACGTAAATATCTGCAATTGAAGACGAGAGATGTATACCTGTTCAAGCGAGCTGGTATCGTAGCTATTCGCTTCAGAACTCTTGTATGTTACCGATGTCGATGTGAGAATGTTAGCCGTGGTCGAGCCGTCGTTGTAAGTCGATGCTCCCGTATACAAGTCATAGACGTTAATGCTCGATCCTCGCGTCACCTTCATTACAAGCTGCCAATCTAGTTTTCACCGAGTGAGATAAAATACAATTAACAAAATAGGAATTATGAAGCGGAAGAGTACTTTGTGAAATTACAGGTAATGTTGAATGATCGGGCCGCCAATCTCGTGATATTCCAGGGGTGGATCTAGGGAGGGGGGGGGGGGGGTTCGGTGTTTTAAGCCCCCCCCCCCCCTTGGCAAAAAGCTAGATCCGCTCCTGTATTCCCATGAATAATATCAGGTGGTTTAGACCCGATTTCTGCATACCCAAGGTCCACTAGATCTCGTGTTTGACATTGTAAAATTTCGATTTCGTAGGCTTTCAGCGTAGTGTGCAGAAAGTCGATTAGACTGAGAAATTTCTTCTGAGGATGCTTTAGTATCAAGGGCATGATAATATTATGTGTCATTGACCTTTGAAGAAGTTGTCGGAAGGTGTACTAGGATGAAAGTATTTATCCTTGTAATCTTCAGTTTTGTGGGCTTCAATCCCACGGACGTTCAGAATAGTTGAGAGAAGGTCAGAAAAAACCTTAATACCTTAATATTTATCTCCAACCTTTAATGGCTTCGGTAAACCTGCATACTATTTTTCAGAAGATCCAATAGTCTAAGACTTAGATATTCGATCTAGTCAACATTTGGTTTCGTGGATATGTCGTCTGTTAAACCGTACATGTTTTCAGAAGGTCTACCAGGTCCAGAAATTCGATCTTGCTAAACTTTGATGTCGTATAGCATGTAGCTGTAGTATTGTGAATTTTTCCAGAAGTGACTCGGAGCACAAGACCCAAAATATCGGCTTCTGAAACTTTGATCAACTACGATGTCACCTACAAAACTTCTGTTTAGTTAAAACTCGAAACTCTCAGTAAATGTTAGCGTTTGTGTCATTAAAATCATAGTCAAATTCCAGCGAGGTACAAAATGGCACTATTATCAACTAACCATCAATGGGATCATTAGCATCAGTTCCACACTCTGAGGAACTGGAGTAGTAACACTCGTTGGGGTACAGTTGACCACAATGTGTTCCACCCGTCACACAGCACGCACAGTCCGTACGGGTCGAATCATAGGGACAGGTGCAACCGGTCTTCGTTGCAGTGTACTGTATCGGTGCTACCAAAAGGATTGAAAATCGCAAACGAATTTATATTCTATTTTTACTCTGATAATATACAATCATAAATGGTTATCCAGCTTTCATTTGTTCTATCTTCCCATGTGTTTGGTTCATTAAGATAATCAATGTTTATATCCAGTTATTCCTTTTATTATTTTGAATATACTAAAATGATCGAATGTAACAAGAAATTTTCCCTGAGAAGAATATTATGATTGCAATTTATCGTCTTTATCATGCCATTTATTTTCCATTAAAATAAGATGGGTATTTATGATTCTGTGTGTTAACACTGGGACATCATCTTAGTCACGTGGCTTGATGTTCGCTTACTGCCCCACTTGTTTAATTTAATTGTTTATAATATCTCCAATACCTGCATTACATGTAATGAAACGCATGCAGTGATGAACTAATATACTTACCCCTGCATACGCTGACCATACTGGTGGTACAGGGATAATCATCCCATGTTCCACTGGAGTACATCCCTCCACAGTTGGTCTCAAAGTTTCCATTCGGTTCTCCAGAGTTCCAGTTTGTATAACTCAATGAGCTTCTGTCCCACCAAGCCCACGTTCCATCACTATCAGTGTCAGTTATACCTGCATGGAAGAAACACACAATAGTCTTTTGAGGCTCTATAATATGAGTGGCTGCATGAGCCACAATTGCATTAGTGGCAGCGGTGGGATTGACTAATGTCATTATAGGTACACGAATATGTTAGATCATGATGGAGCAGCAACTATTTCACCCTAAAATGATGTTAAAGTCACTCTTAGCAAATACCATTAGAATGATTATGAATATGAGACCTTTCTGTTCAGTGGCTGGTTCTTTAGACATGTTTAGTTTTAGAACTATGGGTCTATCCCACTCCTGACATCAATTTATAGAGACCCTAAATGTTAGGGGAGAAAGCCCTCAGTCCCTTGAGAACTTGTACAAGTAACATTATTGTGATGATTCAGACGTCACATCAATTTTGTTAATGGGCCAGTTTCAATTAAATGAGCCATTCTTCAGTCCAAATTGTAAAAATATTAATGCTTACCGATGTGTGCCTTGGAATATCCACTCATGACCCCAGCCACGTGACCATTAACACCGCTATCTGCAATACTGGCCAGATGACCGCCTTGTGTCTCGCAGTAAGCCTGAGCACTTTCCCATGTCAGTGTATCGCTGTTGAGATAGTAGCAAGCCGTACTATACTGCTGCCAGTTCTTACGACATTGAGATGCCCCGTCTGAATAAAATATTAGATTTTTTAAATTTCCATTTTATTTATTCTATTCGACATATTGCAAATGAAATTGATCATGTCGATTATGATTGCTTTAGCAAAATCGAGTTTTTCATAATTTGGATTTCTTACACAGGTTCAAAAGAGTATTTTATCACGTTAGGGCAGATTAAAACCATTTACAAAGTATTTGATGATATATGATTGATTGATTGATTGATTGATTTTATTCGTCAAGTATAGTACATTGAATGCTTACATAAAGCAAAATGAAAACGAGAAGATACATTGACAGGATAACCCATGAAAGCCGGAAAAGGCTTATTTCCAACGGGGTCCTATAAAGTACGTGTACAGTACGGCATGAGAATAAAATATCACAACTAATAACTACTAAGAACAAAATGGTAATAGAATAACATGAGTCATGAAGTTACAACATGAGGAATTAGTCACCAAATGAAAAGAGAGGGTATTACCAACAATGATATGTTATTTCATTCGGTCATTTAGTTAACTTATCATATGATAGGCCTAATTCACTCCAGCAGAAATAAAGATAAAGGTTTTCATTCTAACCAGACTTTGTAAGATAATGAAATACATGTTTGCATGGTACCACACAGTATTAATGCCTTGCTAATGAGTGCATTTATAACAATAATCAAAACAATGATACATATCGTGACTATAATGTCCTCATTGTTTCCTCGAAATAGCGAAGGAGAATACTTAAGTCTTTACAGCATAAATGAGTGAGTCTGTATCCCATACCATTTACCAAATCAATAAGTGGTTAGTTTTCTGGTCCACAATATTTTGAAATGCAATAGACCGCAAAGGAATTTAAAGAATAACAAATTACAACAAACTTACCGACGACGATAGTTCCCAGAAGGAGTAACACTAATGCAGCTAAATTATTGGAAAAGCAACATCATATGATTAGTAAAAACTAGTAAGAACGTATATATTAAGAAAACAACTCAACGTTACACTCAAATGCAAACTTCTACAAATACTTAAATACGTAAAATAGTATACGAACTTAGATTACTCTCTTTTCTAATGATTCCGGTACTTACAGCTTTGTGTCAAATCGGGCTGAGAGTTTCATTTCCCATGTGAAATATGTCAGAGTGCTGGATGGAGCTCTGGTTATACTATAAACATTATTAGAATAATTGTAAAGATTTCAAAATATACATAGTATGGCCCCTTCTTGAAATTTTAGCTTCTGGTATTCAACAAAATATTCCAACCTCTTAGAGAAAGCATTTAATATATCATTCTTCGATAAAACCTAGGAATATAAATTATTTTGTTTAAGTACTTTTTAATTGCTTTATGTAATACAAAAAATGAAAATGGAATTACTATACTCACTCAAAGAAAGCATGGCGGATTAATATCCTCAGATCTTATTCAATTGAATAAAGTTTGACTTCAACATGACGGTGCGCCATCGAAGAATGGCGTCACAAGTTAAGGTGTACTTTTTGTAATTACTTAACAAAATGATAGTCTCTGATATCAGACACATGGCCTTGAACTATAATCTCAAGATGTCAAAATCAAATAAAGTTACACGTCTACCCCGTATATATATATTAAAAAATACAAATTTGAACACAATTATTGGTTCAATTGTTTTCATTACACATTTACAATGACACCATCTTTATTTGATTGAATTCTCTAACAAAAGTAATTTTCATTTTATTTCCAAGACTAGATCCAAATTCTCTCGGGCATTGATCTTATTCTTAGGATTAAGTTTAGAACATCACGTCAATTGTCAAATGTGATCGATTTTAAGTAGCTCAGGCTACAACCGGTGTCTCAATTGGTCCTTATTCCGTAACGCTTCGCTTCGCTATTTCTTGCCGACACTCTCCGTCAATGAAGGGTAACCGTATCGATTAGTAAATTTTCTTCTATGTATGTATTTACTCAAACATCGCAGATATGACAAAGAAGGCGATTTTCGTCATTATTGATTAGGGCCGGCGCACCTTTCATTGGTAAAATAACATCATTAAATGTTGTAATTAGCGAACATTTCCCTTGGATTGAGCAGACAATGGGGGGGGGGGTGTAAAAAAGAATGTAGATCTTGAAGGAGGAGGGGGGGGGGGCAATGACCATTATCGATATGCTTGATCTTTTCTCTCTACATGTATTTACTCCGCCATTCCACTTTCTCCTGCTCCTCCTCCTTCCCCTCCCTTCCCTTCTCTCCCCCTTCTCTATCTCCCTCTTTCTCTGTTTCTGTTTCTGTCTCTGTATGTATCTGTCTCTCTTAACTGTCTTTATTTCTGTCGTTCTCTATTTCTCTTTCTCAATCTCAATACTACATCTTTTTTCCATCCTTCCATCTCAAAATCTTTCCAGTCTCTTCTCCTTCTCTTACCTTTCTTCCTTCCAATGCTGCCTTTCCTCCCCACTCGTTTTTTCCTTTATACTTCCAAACTCTTTCCATCCCCTCCCTACTATTTCATATATTGTTGTCATGATCTATTCCCATCAATTTCTTCTATCTTGCTCTCTCTCTCTCTCTCTCTCTCTCTCTCTCTCTCTCTCTCTCCCTGTCTCTCTCTCTCTATATATGTATATCTCTCTTTCTATTTATTTATTTCTCTTTGACTATCCCTTTCCCTCTTTCTTTCTTTCATATCAATACCCACTTCTTTCTCTATCAACAAATCCTCTTTCAAATACATGTTTAACAAAAAAATGCGGTTATGTCAATATGCTACATAATATAATTTATTTCATCCATGAAAGACTGTAATACATGCAAAGTTATACTTTACTTAAAGTTTCTACACATGAAAAAAAATCATAATACTGTTAAAGTTAAAGCTGAAATAATAAAAGAAAAGTTTATAAAATAATTCTTACAACGTGTATTAACAAAACTTGTATATTGAATACACATTTGAATACATAAAATAAGTACATGTTTAACTTTGTGCAAAATGTATAAACATTCAATGGCTCTATTCTGTAAAGTACATCTTCATTGTTATCGTTATTTAATTCAATTTAATTCAAAGTTTATTCAACACTCTTCATGAAAACATTTAAAACATACAAATACAGAATGGAATAATAAAAAACAAGAAAGTGATAACAAATTACAATGGCAATTTATAAGAGCATTTGAGATAGGCAGAAAGGAGGGATTCCTTATATGAAAGCCTGCCCCTAAAAACACACATACAGGAAGAAAAAAAAGAAACAAGAACAAAAGAACAGAACAAAAAAACAAAAAACATACTAAAACATACTATCATGTAAGATCAGAGTAAAAAAAGTGTCAAACTTGCCCATGCTATTAATACTGATTATTATACTTATTAAACAGAAATTGTTTATATTTAATTTTAAAAAGATTGAGAGTTTTGCATTTTTTTATTTCCTGAGGTATACTATTCAATATTAGTGGTCCTTTAAAAAATAGTGAATTTTTCATACATGTCGTTCTAAGGCGAGGTGATAATTTAGGGCATTTATAGTATTAAAATTATGCACATCACAATTCAAGTTAAAACATGTTGATAAAAAAGTAGGCAAATTGCCATTAAAACATGAAAACATGAAAACTGCAATATAAAAATTATGCATATCGATTACATTAAAAATTCAAAGTTTACAAAATAAAGGATTTCAGTGAGCATAATATTGGGAATGAGTTATAATGCGTATTGCTTTCTTTTTAAGCTTAAGTAACCTTGACATATCATATTTATTAAATTTGCCCATGCAACTATACAATAATTGAAATATGGTGTTATTAAAGTATGATACAACATTTTCAGAATATTTAAGGGATAAAAATGAACTTTATATAAAATACCAATATTTTTTGCTTTTTCATTACACACCACATTTATATGCTCATGCCACTTCAATTTATGATTAATTACAATACCTAAAAACTTAAGATTATTTACACGTTCAAAATTGTGATCATTTACTAAATGAATGTTGTTAAAATCAATATTTTTATTTGTAAAAAAAAATATATAAACTTAGTTTTATCATAATTTAAAACCAATTTATTATATAAAAACCAATTAGAAAGTTCCAACATTTCTTGCTTAAAAACATTTTGTAAAACCTGGACATCAGCAAATAAAATAAACTTCAGTTAATCAGAAATATTGCACATATCATTAACATAGATAATAAATAAAAGAGGTCCAAGGATGGATCCTTGAGGCACGCCACATCTAAGTTTTTCGGTATTAGACTTATCTTTATTTATTTGTACAAATTGGGTTCTATTTTCTAAATAACTTTCAAACCATTTTAAAGTTACTCCACGAATACCATAATAATATAATTTTTCAATAAAATAGTGTGGTCTAATGTATCAACTGCTTTACTTAAATCTAAAAAAAAGGCCCATTAAGATATGATTATTTTCAAAAGTTTTCAAAAAATTATAAATAAAATGCATAATTGCATTAGCTGTAGAGTGCCCAGGTCTAAAACCATATTGACATTCAGTGATAATATTACACTTATTTAAAAACATAAAAAGTCGATTATAAACAGCTCTTTCTAAAATCTTTGAGAAAACAGGGAGGATAGATATAGGTCGATAATTAGAAACATTTTTTAGTACCTTTTTTAAAAACAGGAATAACCTTTGCAAGTTTTAGTTGCTCTGGTACTATACCTGCAGATACAGAAATATTAAATATTGCACTTAAAGGAATTGATATAATATGAACAACTTTTTTCAAAATAACTTAACACTTACATCATCATGACCACAACTCTTATTATTTTTTAATTTACTTACAATATTGATTATTTCTGTGGGGGTAATAGGATTAAAACAAACTGTACATGGATTAAAATCAATATTACTATAAATGTCATTATTACTAAAATCATTATCTATGTTGTCTAATTATCAGTTAAGCTAGGTCCTATATTAATTTTTAAAAATATTAAAAACAGATCATATTTTTTTCTTATCACATATAGCTTGATCATTGCACATAACCGAGTCGGGCATATTATGCTTACTACTCTTACCGAGACTTTCATTGATCAATTTCCATGTTTTTCGTATGTTTCCTGATGCATTTTTAAATTTGGCCTTAAAATATTCTATTTAAGCTTTTATAATTTTACCATTCACCATATTTCTATACTTGTTGTATTTATCTTTTTTATATTCAATTGGATCTTTCAAGTACTTCTTATATAATTCACACTTTTTTTTTTCACATTTTGCGTAACTCTTTAGTAAACCGCCGGTTATTATACTTTCTACTCTTTACACATTGTTTCAAATGAAAACATTTATTACAAATACAAACATACTGTCTTAAAAAACATTCATAACTATAATTTGGATCATTAGAACATAAAGTTCAATCAGAGTTATATATTTCATGCATTACCATCATCACCATAATCATCTAAATCAAATCATTATCGATGACTAATAAGAATTATACACTAACGGGGGGTTTCACTTGTGTTATAAGGTCTATATCATAATGATATGAAATTTATAGAAAATAGGAAAATGGAATTACAAATGTTTCAACTTCAAGCTCACAGAGGTTTCTAAACATCAAACACGCAAAGCTCTCTTAGGTTTACACAAATCGTACACATGTTAGAACTAATGTCCTGGCTCGGCAATGCATAATATAACTATATACCTGAATGATCTTGAAATGGTTATAGTGAGATTGAGTCTAGAAATATTTGCATAAATAATCAATCATATTTTCACAAAACACTGTACTCATTGATTCTCAGTGGTTTAGGAATCTATCACTCAGGACGATGAGGTTTTATCACTTCACAGGTTAAAATATTATACTATTGTTTAAGGAGTCACTGTGTGACGAGTTATACACTATTTCAGTATGTTCTTCAGAATGATGAACTTGCCAAACATTTTAAGATGATGACAAAGATATATCTTGGATAATGACATGAGACAGACATTTAGATACAAACTAATGTTGGTATGGTTACCACGTAGACCATTTTGTCTGATCGATCTGACAGAATTCACCGGTGTCGACATTCTTGGCCATGACAAGGTTTGGATCAGCATTGGGGAGGCGATGGGAGACGTATACCTTGTCATTACAAACATCCTATACAGGGAGAGAGAGATAGAGAGAGAGAGAAAGAGAGAGAGAGAGAGAAGAAAAAAAGAAAGAGAGAGAGAGAGAGAGAGAGAGAAAGAGAGGAAAAAAAAAAGGGCAGAAAATGATAGATGAAGATGAATACTAATTATAATAGGGTATATTTGGTTATCCTATTGGCTGAAAACATTATGTTGTGTATAACTGCTTGAGCATGCGATTTTAACTGTTTTTTTTAGAGAAAATTATGTATAAAACATGTACCATAACCACACATCCATGTATGTAGGCATGTGCAGGCACGTAGCCACGGGGGGGGGGGGGGGGGGTGTACGGGGGAGAGGGTGCACCCCCAAAACAAATTCCAAGATCGGTTGAACTTTTTAGACCCCTCTCCAGGACGTCGATCGATTACATGTATGTGCCCCCCCCCCAAACATCTAACTCTGGCTACGGCCCTGGGCATGTGAGGTTCTCATTGTTTGTATTGACATACCTCGTCCTTGCATTTGACTCGCCTGAATAAATTCTAAAGGGATGACTCAAGAAAAGGGAAGGTGTTAAATCACAAATACACTCTAAATCATACAAGAAATTGGCCTGTGATAATAATACATAAATGGAATTTGGGTTTTATAAAACATACATGTATATACAGTAGGTTTGCGGGTGCACCATGTGTGAGAGAGAGAGAGAGAGAGAGAGAGAGAGGATTGAGGAGTCCTGAAAAGGACTCTGACTCGGTAATCTTTCATGTATAGTAACTTTTTTTTTAAACACCTGTATCACTTCTTCAATAAATAATGGCACTTACCTGTAGGTAATTTGTTGCTTGCGTTGTAACCTTACTGCAACCTGATATAGACAGATTCTTGAGATCAGGGCAGTTATTGGCGAGAGCAAATATACTCTTATCTGTGATGCTGTGGATTCCAGCGAGGCAGATATCCTCTAGAGGGCAGCATCTTGTCAGTTCAACGACGCCGTTATCCGTGACCTGTAGAAATACACACAAAAATACATTATGGTATATTCTAATAGTGGAACACTAGAGATGATAGATTTACTCTTTGTCTTTCCATAAAGTTCATAAACTTGAGTAAAATACAACAGTCCGTGAAATAATAATAATAATAATAATAATAATAATATTACTGGGTTCTTGTATAACGCTCATATATGTCGGAATTGTCACTACTGGCGCTCCCGATCATTACCCTTGATCTAAAATAGATTTTAAAAGATTTTTTAAAAAAACAGCAAAATAACAAAACACAAAACAATTTAAATGTAAATGACTAGTCCTCATTTCCCGACGACAAATACTATTAAAAGGACAATGCAAGACCTAAATTATATAAAGATTTCAACGATTAACTATCTTCATTACCACCCTCACAATACATCTATTTGAGATTAAGGAGAGGGCTACCCATTATTTTTTGTAGTAGGTACTTTTTGATTAAGGTGATCAATAATCAGTAGCGTTTTTTCCAAAGGCAGATTTAGTAGCCCGCTCATCATATTTAGCAAGCCGCTCCCTTAAAGTGTTATGATCTTGAGCCAACTTTTTTTTTCCACCATATCCTACTCCTCCAGTTTATGACATGCCTACGATACAAACGAGACTGGAAATATGAACCACGTTTTCACCTGACTAGCAGATGAACCATCGAAGCTCCCGAGTGAGATGTTCTTCAGATGAGGCATGTGGTTTGCTATGGAGAAGAGCAAGGTGTCATCAACGCACTTGATTCCCGCCATGTAAAGCTCGATCAGGTTCACGCATGCTTTACTCATATCTAGCAAGATGTCATGGTACAACTGAAAGAAGAAAAAAACAATTAAAACAATATATACATAAACACTTAACTCTTCACTAGCCTTGGTTAATCATTTGAACCAACTTGGACTGCCACAGTTGACATGTGTAACTAACATGTCCAGTACAATGTTAACAATATAGCAGTCCCGGGTTCCATTCATGGGGAATAAGGAGTCAACCTGTTAGATAGTAGTAAATTTTGGGATGTCACGTATTTTCCAAAGACTCCAGCCTGAATATCTTGGGAATATCAGAAGTATATACGGCTATATAAATAGGCTTTCTTGGAGGTCTGTTTGACATCGAGACTACATGGTTATTGGAAGGCACGTCATTGTATTTGCTGAAAATAAATGGTCAAAGCCCAACGATTATATGGTTTTAAAATTATTATAATGATACTTTTGTTCTGAACAATTAATTACAAAGATAATGGTTTCTAATAATGTGCCTTTATACTGTCACTCGTTAGTGTTCCTGATGCTGCCAATTTGATTTTCTGGAGCTGCTATATCATCGTTAAAACTGTACATGAAATGGCTTTGTACCAGGTACCCTATATAAATACAGTTGGGTCGGGATATACAACTTCTCAGTGTTTTGTTCTAACCAACTAACTAGTGAATGCCTCTCCATATAGCTTTAAGACAGGGCCCATCCAGTTTTCCATCATACAAGTAGAATCTTTGTTCTCCTTTTGAGCAATGTAAGCAGGAACTCTCGACCTCTTTGATTGAAAATAATTTTTAAAAAGAAACAATACGGTAAAAAAAAACATTACTCACATTTTTACATCCACTCATCCTGAGTAGTGTCAGGTTGCTAGACCTCTCCCGATCTCTAAACAGCGCCCTCAGCGACTCACCGGTCAACTTCATACATGATCCCAACTGGATCTCCTCTAAGGATGTACAGTTCTTGACGATAAGCCTCAGGATATCATCAGTCATGATCTGACGGTGGCCTGTCATATCCAAGCATATAAGCTGATGTCCAACCATCTCGTAAAGCTGTTAAGTATAGTGAAGAAGACACACACGTATGTACCTAGACAATATGAAGTACCAGTATTACAAGATTGGGTAACATTATCCATTTGGTGAAAGGGTGACAGTAATCAATTCACATACCATCATCTACATGGACATCAAACACTGATATACATCACAACATGAATATGCCAGTCCATTATACAATCGATTTAGTACCTCATTGATGTAGGAGAGGATACACAACCTATTTGAATGAATTTATCAAGCAACAATCTGGAGACAGAAGAAAAAACTAGACAGGACAGGGTACCATGCTCAAGGACATCTTAGAAGGGATGACTGATAATAATCATGAAAGAGGTAGACCAAGGATTGGGATGGTGTCAGACTTGATAAGTGACACAAATAAAGGGATGGAGATAGAACTAAAGACGGCACTGGTGTGTGCTCTTGCCCTGTGCAGAGCACTTGAGAAAGAGAACTACAAACCTTTATGACATCTTCTTCAGTGATGGAGTTTATCCCGCATAGTCTGAGAGTCTCCAGCTTTGGTAACCTTGAGACGGCTGTGTGGATATCTCCACCCTCCAGCTGGAGCCCTGCTAGGACAATTTTCTTGAGACTTACAGGTAGCTCTGTCAGGAATTCCTTGCTGGAACTCTTCTCGAGGCTGTAGCAGAAAGAGACATCTAGGAGCTTGAGCTTGGTGCATTCTTTACTCAGCTGTAAACAATGAAAAATAGCATGGTGATTTACTCAGGCGCGTACGCAGGGGGGGGGGGGGGGGGGGTTGAACCCCCTTCAGTTTTTTGTATGTGTGTATTTTGGAGCAACCCCCCCCCCCCCTTTTTTGTGATTTTGTGAAATTATACCAATGGCTGACCTAAAAAAGGTGACCTTATGAATTTGAATTTGCAATGCGAAGGTGGCATTTTGAAGGTCGGGTTATGCATCGCAGATGAAAGAACATCTCTTTGACTATCTAGAGGAGTTTGTTAGAAGTTTGTAGGATCTAGGATAGTGGAGATAGGGAGGAAGAAAGAAACGCCTTAAAACGGACCAGAAACGGACAAAATGGCGCCTGGACGGTTATGCATGAGTGATTTTAAAGACATAGGTGACCTAGATTGCATATCAGAGATTACGCCTTCGAAATTTGAAAGGAAATGGACATGAGAAAATGACCTAACTAGGAATAACAAGCACAACGTTCAAAACGAATAGCAAATCCAGAAGAGAAAAAGAAGAATATTAATTGGGCAGAATGTGAATGAAAACAAAGCAATGACGATATTCGTCATTGCAACGAACACCCTTCTGGCTAATATATTACAGATAACTCACAGATCGCAGAATAATAATTGATGCTAATGTTGAAAAAAAAAGTACCTTCTTTTTATCTAATAGTTTTGTTAATGTGCACTTAAAATATTTTCATTTTAAAAAAGAAGCAACTATATTTTTAAAGGTCATTTGCATAATATAAATATGCCTTTTTTACTTACCGCCCTCAGCCTTGCACTGGTTATTCTACTACAGCTAAATACATGTAGTACAAGCCTGTTGGTTGGGAATACAAAAGAATATAGTAATAGTAATATCGATTGTCATCATTTTCTATTTAACCCGTATGTACATCACAAGGTTATTAAATAGGTATCCATTACAAGTACAAAATAGAAATATACTGTGCATGGATAGAGTGGACCTGGTGCAAACATAACAGGTACTACGTGACCCTAAGATTTAAAGCCCCACTGTCCTACTTGTAGCTACTTGCTCCCTCTATATAGAAAACTTCCCCAATCGGGGCCTGTTGGTCCTCCATGATCCTCTTTTTCTTATGTTAGTTGAGAGCTGAGTTAATGAGATAGCCACCTATCACTTACCTCGCTGTGTGGTCTAATCCCTTCTGGCCCAGTAGTATTGACGGTCTTTAAGATGGATCATCCTTTTGATTGTCACATTTATTTACTACACAACATAATCACAGCTCATTATATTAAGAAACTGATCATTTCACTGAATACTCACTAATATCTTAACAACGAACAAAATTATGCTTACCTTTCTAAGTTTTTGCAATGCTGTGATACTACAACCAGATCGTTATTCTCTATATTGTGAATGTTGATGAGGGTTAAATGTGTCTGGTAAACATAAATAAATAATGGGTATTAATCAATATCTACTGTTCATTGATGCAAATAGGCATTATTATAATATTCGATATTTATCTCCTACATATATAAGATATAATTCATAACAAATAATTGAATGCATTTAGATAAGATAATGAATGAAGGTAATAATGATGGCTTCTTATATAGCGCGCATGTCCGTCACGTCATGATACACCAGGCGCTCCAACATTATGGTCCATTATTTAATTTATACTGGGAATCTCGCTCAACAAGCCAAGCTTTTCTGAGATTCCCCTTTTTCCCCTCTCAGTTAAATCAAGCAACATAAAATATTTTGTCTTATTCTCAAACTTAAATGTACTCTGTAAACGTATTTGATTACGAACATACTTGTCAGTATTCCGTTACTTGTATAATTCATTTTTTCTTTTATATATTGTATTATTGTATGGTATATGTTATTTAATTTGTGGATATTTGAGTTGAAAATAAATCAAATCAAATCAAATCAAATCAATTATTACCCGGGTCATAGCTGGTGGCCAAACCTTTAGTGCTTTGGCATATCGCAACCCATTTACACCAGGGTGGTGAGTGGCAAAAGTGGATTAATCTTGCCAAGGATGTTACCTGTAACTAAGAATTATTGCTATCGAGTGGTGTCCGAAGAATTGTATCTCCATTTTCCAATATGTACTGTATCAGGATCAAGTTCGATAAGAAAGTTATTTCATTTATTCCAGGATTCAGGGCAGTTGTCCTGGGGGTGTTTCACAAAACTTGTCACCAGTAAAAAAAAATTACAGTGGTCGTCATAAGCTACTGAAATCCTTGCTTCTGATTGGTTATCAGCAGATTTGTCACTGATGTTTGTCATTTGTCATTGAAAAAAGGCTTTGTGAAACGGGTCCTTGGACTACTGGGTCATTAGGGTAATTGTCCTGGAATAGATCATCTTCTTCGAGACAGATCAATATACTTACAAGTTCATTTGCGAGTGTTACTGCTATTGCAGGGATGACTTCATGTGTCAGCTTATCACAATAACCTATATTCAGTCTTGATATTGTTGGATTCCTTGTCACAAGTGCTACTAGACCTGGGAGATAAAGTAGACGAAACAGAAATAGAACAGGAATGACTAGATATAAGAAATATCCTCATTTAAACAGTTTGAAACGGAATAATGTTGTCCTCATCAGAATATAATATTTCTCTTGTCAACAACCTTCAATTAAAGCCTTGAAGTCTTCCATATAAATATACCTTAGAGATGCTATTCCATTCACGTGTAGCCAATAACGTATATCATGATATTAAAAATCTCTATATACATTTTCCAAGGGCTTTCTACATTATTAATCCCACTGAAGCTCCACAAACTATTATTACTGCACAGTGCATTCCAAGGAAGAAAATCAGAACAGGTACCCATTTACTGCTTGAACTGGGAAATATGTATCAATTTCATGTCAGGCATAAACTTGCTACCTTCCCAACCACAGTCAAGTTCTAGCTAAATTTAAGTCCATCAATAATTCGACTTACTTTCGTTGGTAATTTGAATGCCCGAGAAGTGAACATCTTTTAACTTCCTTGACCTGAGGACTTCTAACCCTGTCCCTGTCAGCTCAGATATTTTCTTCAAGACCAGGGTCTGCAGTTCATCCTGATGGCTCAGTAAGGCTGATACACCAACATCTGCAAATAGAAACAAACGTATGGAGTCTTAGTATTATCTCCTGTATAACATAACAAATCAATAAGACATCCATTTAGTTGTGTTGTATATACACCAGGACGATCATGTGTTTGCAGTCCATGATAGGCACTTTGACCGCATCCCCAAAATAAATCTTCATCCATATCTCTTAAGAAGTTTAAGAATCTCATTACAATGAAAGGGAAACAAAACATTAGGAAATACATGGTGCCAGATCAGTTGGTAGGGGTGGCAAGGACTTTTTCCTCCAGTAAAATTGACTACACACGAAGCTCAAGTTGTGTTTTTTTTTTATGTTGTTGCCTTATATTGAACACATTTTTGAGCCCCCTTCCGGGCCCCACCCCACCCCAAACAAAAAAAAAAAAAAAAAAAAACATTGATCCATAACCATTACGCTGTATACAGTTAAGCCATGATGACATATATTCTCAAAGCTCAAAAAACATCAATCACATTAAAAAACTTAACATCGAAACCAACACCAGACCGATAATAGAAAAATTACATCACCCAAAGTGGCCAAGATTTTGTCAATTATTATGATTTGATTTAGAGTCAGTTCAGTGTCGGTGTGGCGTTGTTGACTGGGTGTGACGTAACAAATATCCTGCACCACCTACCTGTCACTTTACACCCGTCAATCGTGATACTCTCCAGAACGCACTTGCAGTCATCAAGCAGAATGAGCAGCTTATCTGTGATCTGATCACAATGGTTGAACGAGATGGACCTCAGTGCGGGAGAGAAGAGATGATACGTGACATGTGGAACGTATTCTGTCGTCAGCATATTATGATTCACGACCCACTTGAGTATTTTCTCTTTGTGCAATGTGGGGAGGTGTTTGCCGACGTTGCTGATGACGTGAAGGTTCTGGGCTATGCAGCCCAAACACATATCCATGAGTTGCTTCACCATCCTGACGATTTGCTTGATATGGATTTTACCTTACGCTCAACTGAAATGATCTGTGGGGGGGGGGGGGGAACAGAAATAAGTTGCTTTAGTCGTAATAAAGTGTTCTTGTTAAAGGTAATACAAAGTTTTGGTATGGGGTACTAAACTCTAGGTTAGGCCAACTTTCAATCGGTTATCTAAGTTAGATGTAGACATATAGACTTCATTTAGGAAAGAGGTCTAACTTATAGGGCCTTTTGTAAGTTTGACATGGCTGATGCAACCTGGGGCATGCAAGCAGATTCATTAATCATGTACGGTTCCAAAGTATGGGCACACTTGTGAACTAGCGCCCAACCGAGATGGCCTTGAAATGGCTTGTAAAATGACGCTGGTTTGGGTTCTCAAAAGAGAGAGAGAGAGTGGGGGGTGGAGTCAAATCAAATTTAGAGTTAGCTGAACATCCCCCACCCCTCGAGAAAGGGAAAATGATAAATTTCAAATGTTCCCATTTGTTATTTGTTTTCAACTGGAAAAAAGCCTTCTTCTTTGTTTCTATTGTGCCCCCCCCCCTGATTCTGTCCCTAACATTCCCCTACCCCCTTCCTACTTTTTCCTTTTCTTTTTCCTTTTTGTTTGTTTTTAAGCTTGGGCCGGCATTAACTTGTTATCCCGCCCCCCCCCCCCCCCCACTCCGGGGTCGGAATGACCGCATGCGTGTTACCAAAATGTCCGGTAAAGTGGTACTTTTCGTGCGACAAAGTCCGGCCCGAGAATTGCAAAAAAAGGGTTGTATTTGACTTTTCACTCGGAGATTTCTTTAAAAAATGGGGTGTTTTTCTTTTTTTCTCTCATCTCTTTGGACTCCTGAGAAATTATTCCGAATTTAGGGGGGTACATTGAGCATTTTTCCCTATTTAGGGGGGTCTCCAAGGCAGGAAAAGCCCGCGAAAAGCCCGCGAAAGGGGGGTTCGGAAATATTGGCAGTACTCAGATAGGGGGTGCTTTCAAAAAGAGGGAACGAGCATACGCGTACCCTAAATAACACTGAGTGGGGGGGGGGGGGGGCGGGCTTGTTATACAGATAAAATTAGATCATGTCAATCCTTTCAAAGATTACTTCCTGTAAATGTACAAGTCAACTCTGTGATTCTAATTATGATAGAAAAATACAAAAAATCTATTACGCACAACCTTCAACAATATCCGTACGACACGAGTTATTCCAACGCTCCAAATAACCGGCAATCATGACAATTGTATATATTATTCATTGCCATGTCACATTTGTGGATCTAGTTGTTCTGAAGAAACTTTTAATACACTCTAACGTTGATAAAATTAAAAACCTTGACCAAGTTTGACTAGATTTATTTCCCAACAGCACGAAGCTGTATTCAATAATCAGAATAATGAGATTAGGTTTGGGATAGGTTATTGGATTCACCAATACCAGCGCGCAGTAATTAGCTAAGTGATTAAAATATTAACATACATGAATAACTCTCCCAATGTGAATGTTTGATTCTGATCCGCGTTGTTTGTTATTGCGTGAAGAGCATAATTATACATGTAATTATGCACGACCGTGACTTCCATAGGGTTTTACATGGATCACGATGGAATAGAGCTTGAAGCACAGTAGATTTATATAAATCCTTCTTTAAAAAAAAAAAATTATTATCTGCATAATAAAGGCAACCTATATAACAAGATATAATAACCACATATAAGTAAGATACAAATTAAAACTTACTATTTCAGTATTTATCCGACGACGTCTACTACTATGCTGGCTTTTCGTTTACCGTTTCTTCCATTGGCTCAAATCATGTACCACAGCGCCATTCGCGTGTTGCATATACATGTATTTATAACAGGAAACCCTGATTTCTATTATTAGAACATGACTTCTTTTCAGGCTAGGCCTATACGGATACGGATATGTAAAAGCTATAGTTGCGTCGACTGCTACGTCACCGGTCCGGGGATTCATCTTTACCATGACCATATTTGGTATCCCGAATTTGCGGAAACACCACCATTAGCCTTCGATTTTATATCGTTTATTAAAGCCCCACTGTCCTACGTGTAGCTACTTGCTCCCTCTATAATTTGTTATAGAAAACTTCCCAATCGGTGCCTGTTGGTCCCCCAGCATGAACCCCTTTTTCGTATGTTAGTTGAGAGCTGAGTTAATGAGATAGACACATGTCAGTGACCTCGCTGTGTGGTCTAATCCCTTCTGGCCCAGTAGTATTGACGGTCTTTAAAAGAGCTTCTGTATCTATACAAACAAACTTTACGATACAAGAGTGATTTTCGTAATAGGGTCAACGCATATATGCCCCTTACCCTTACCGATTTAAGTTGATCGATAGTAGGACTTTTGATTAATAAGTTTTCTTGACTGCGTGTATTTCCTCAAACATCGCAGATATGACAAAGAACGCGATTTTCGTCTTTTTTTTATGAGGACTTGCATATTTTTTTAATTGGTAAAATAACTTAATTGAACGTTTTAAAAAGCTAACATTTTCATTGGATAGTGCAAACAATGAAGGAAAATGGTTTTTAAAAAATCTACATCTTGAAGGGGGGGGGGGGGTTGTTACCATTATCAAACAACTTGATTATTTCCCTCAAGATGTATTTACTCCGTCATTCTACTCCATCATGATTCTTCCTCTCTCTGTTTCTGTCTCTCTCGCTGTCTCTGTCACACTCTCTCTCTCTCTCTATCTCTGTCGTTCTCTATTATATCACACTGATGGACATGTATGTTTAAAATATGTATGTTTGTAATATGATATAGAAATCAATAAATCAATCTATTTCTCTTAATGATCGCAATGCTACATCTTTGTTCCATTTTTTCATCTCAAGATTTTACCAGTCTCTTCTCCCTCCCTTACATTTCTTCCTTCCAATTGTGTCTTCCCTTCCTAATCTTTCCTTCCTTTATACTTCCAAAATCTTTTTATCCCCTCCTACAGTTTCATTTTTTGTTTTCATTATTTATCTCCATCAATTTCTTATTATCTTGCTCTCTCTCTCTCTCTTTCTATTCATATATTTCTCTCTGACTCTCTGTGTCCCTCTTTCTTTCTTTCATGTCAATACCCCTTCTTTCTTTATCAACAATTTCTCTTTCAAACAAAATGCGTTTGAATAAATATGCTATAGAATATGATTTATTTTATCCATGAAAGACTATAATACATGCAAAGTTATACCTTGCTAATGGTTTCTACATACACAACTCATAATACTGTTAAAATTAAAGCTGAAAAAAACAAAAGAAAAGTTCATAAACTAATTCTTACAACACGTATTAATAAAATTTGTATATAAAATACACATTTGAATATATAAAAATCAGTACATTTTAACTTTGCGCAGAATGTACAGAACTTCAATGATTCTGTAAAATACATCTTTATTGTATCATTATCATCACCATTGCATTATATTATCAACAATACAAAGAATTATATAATATTGAAGGTTTCACTTGTGTTATAAGATCTCTATCAAATTATATGAAATTCATAGAAAATAATAAAATGGAATTACAAATGTTTCAACTGCAAGCTCACAGAGATTTCTTTACATCATGCACGCAGAGCTGTTTTAGGTTTACACAAATAGATGGCATGTTAGAACTAATGTCCTGGCTCGGCCGGCTTCACATTACATTTCACCTCTCATTAGTATCATATTCCACTTCAAAAAAACTAAATCTTCATATGAGCTTGAAATTAATAGATTTTGCTATTTATCAACGAAAATGAAAGAAATCTAATGACAAACCTTTTAGGGCAGATAAAACCACAAATTGGCTTTTAAGTATGTGATGCCAGATACATACAAGGTCATACGAACCTTGGCAAATACATATGAAATCTTTATATATAAATGCTTATGCCAAGACACGTTTGAGAGAAAACAAAAGAAAACATGTAAGCACTACTTTATGTCAAGATATGCAGTGGGCCGTATGCATAAAAAGTAGCAATTGCTTGTGCTAGCCTTTTACTTGAATCCGTATGCATAAACATAAGCAATTGCTTGCAAGCAAATGCTTTTGCTAGCAAGCACAAGCAATTGCTTGATGTCCGCAAGCAATTGCTTAAAGATCAAGCAATTGCTTAAAAACGTATGCATAAAACGAACCTTTTGCTTGTTCTTATAAGCAATTGCTTACGTTTTTTCAAGCTCCGTCATAGCAGCTTGAGCTCTTGCTTAATCGGGACGTTCGCGGTTAAGCATCATGTTTATGCTCGTTATATTATAGAGAAAAACCAAAGTTGTACAGGAGTAGAATAAATCGAGAAGAAATTGCTCCCGAGACCTATCGGAAACTATTCCGATTCGACAAAGAGAACGTTGAGTGGTTAGCACACAGGTTCATACCTGAACATGATGAAAAACGGGGAGGATGTCTGACAACGGTGGAGAGCATGGAGGCTACCCCACACGCATGACATTTGAATACACTACTAGTATGCGAAACCCGCCTTTGTTCTCCCATGAATGATGTTCGCACCGGCGTGACGTCGCTATTGTTGAGATCGTAAGCAATTGCTTGCTGGAGGCAAGCAAAAGGTTTGAGCACAAGCAAAATGTTATGCATACGGATTTAAGCAATTGCTTGAGCTTGATCTTTTGCTTGACAAGCAATTGCTTGTGCTTGAAGCAATTGCTTGCAAGCAATTGCTACTTTTTATGCATACGGCCCATTGTCTATAGCTTGGTTAAAGGGCATTATCAGGGGAATTCCTAATTCGTGTATTCTAAATACTAAATATATTCTCTTAACCCTTACTGTACTCCACTTTTTGAATGTGATAACTCATTATTCATATGAAACTTCTTTTTTAACACAAAAAAGTTATTTTAATGTAATTAATAATGATAATTTATGCAAATTTTGATGCGATTTTTATTTTATTTTTTTGTTGTTGATGACATGCGCATACTAATTGTTATGTAACGCCTTACAGGTATATCCGATTTCGACGAAAATGGTATCAAAATGTGCGTAAGACTTGAGGGAGAAAAGTCATGAAACGACAATTCAAAATTCCAAGCGGTTGCGACGCAATCTCCGAAAATGTCGAGGGGGGGGGGCCTCCCAGGCCCCCCCCCCAGTACAGTAAGGGTTAAGAGACCTCTGAATAGGCCATCAGCATATAACATCAACTAAGAGCAAAATGTATTTGTCAACAAGACTAGTAGATGAATTTACTATATATGCACAAATTGCTGACCACCATTGTTTCAAAGTCATTCACTAACTAAAAATGGATGTATTACATGCACTAATACACATGATAGCAAAAATATTCCTTGCATCTACTATTTAAAGACGTATCCTTTGCATTAAATGCAAAGCAGAACAAGAAATTGTGGCTTCTACATGTAAATCAAATTGGAACATAAAATAGTAATTCATGTTGAACAAGGTCGAGACAGGGGTCATGTATATACTGCACTCACTGACACAAAGTACATTCATTTCCATGTAAATTGACCTGTGATTCTTGACTACGGTACATGTATGTGATCCTAAAAATCTTATATTAATTGATATAACGATAAGAATGTTACCAATCCATATAAATGGATGTATGCAATTACAATAATATTCACTTGACAAACTATGAATATATATTTGATAAAGTAACAACCATTTATAAAAAGATTAAGTACAAGGAATGAAAACGATGCTCTTCACTTTTATTTAAAAAGAGAAATTGCACTTAACGGAAATGTTTATAAGGTTCTCCATTAGTTCTAGATGTATCAAATTCTAATATCAAATATCAACATGTTCTGGAATAATGCCACAAAGAGTGTATAAACATGGGACATTGAGGTACATTAAGTGGACCCTTTTCCACAAATGAAACCAATTCCTAGGTGTAGGAGTAAGGGCAATTTCACTCTATTTTGGAGTGGAGATTTGATTTGATTTGATTTATTTATTTCTGTTTGATTTTCTTTTTCTTTTGCATTTTTACAAATATATAACAAACAAATATTGCAAATTTACACATGACAAAAGAATAAATGTAGAATAAGGTATGGCTGGGTGTAACTAATCGAGAACATCAAACAGGAGGGTTGACAAAATAAGCAAAGCTTGATAGTATGACTACCCTCAAAGGATACATAATAATAAAAGGGGGAAAAGACAGAAAAAGAAGAGAAAAGAAAAAGGGGATGCACATCAATATTCACAGACTTATGTGGAAGTTGGATTTCAAATTGATATATAAGGATTTTAAATAAGAAAAGAAATGCAAATTTGAATACTGAGTGGCCAACTTGGGATACAATAGAATGAGAAGACTCTCAAGGTTCGGATAGTAAGAATGTGAAAGTAAGATCAGCCAGCTGGTTTTAAACCTGGGCCTGCGAGTCAGAGCCTTGAAATGTTTGTATAGAAGACAGTGTTTATTCAGTATCCCAAGTAGGCCACTCTTTATTCATACGTGTATTCATACCAGGTCATGGAAGGTTATAATCAACGTTTCAATAAATGGAAGCAAAAAAAAGTAAACAGTACAGAAAATTATCGAGTTTTGTAACGATGGGTAAACGAGGAGAATTTATTTTGTTGATGGATTTAAAGATAATGAGCAATAAGAAACTTTTTCACCGCTCTTTTAAAGGATAGCATTGTATTCATCGTTTTTATTTCAGGGGGTAGTGCATTCCAGGTATCAGGGCCAGAATGTCTAATTGAGTTTTGAGATGTAACCTTTTTCTGACAAATGGAGTTTTGATTATCTACCCTGAGGCACATAAACATGTGGAAGCATTTCCAAGATGGCAGTAATGATTCTAATTGACAAAAATATGATCATCTAATTATATATCCATTTGTGAATAATGACTAATACAATTATTTCTCTATAATATACTATTAATATACCATCATTGCCCATATGTTAAGAACAGGGGTATAGTGGATCAGGGGTGTTTCTGAAGTTTTCAATATTTAGGCTTGAGGGCCAGTCTATTTTATCTGAGGGTTGGTTGATATGTATCTTAAAGTGGGCATGTCGCATAGGAATTCCTGAATCAAATTTCAGTCCAGTCCACCAGCGTTTATCAAAATACACGTAACGTGTAATAATTTGCAGCACACATGATTTTGCAGCTGCTATCCCGGTGAGATCAAAGTATAGAACTATTCTAGATTATGTGGTACTGTTTGCAATTAATCTAAACAATTAAACAGTTCCAAAAATGTCACTTTTCTTTGTATGGCCTTTACCCTGAATTACTCAAATAGCATGAGTAGGATTGTTGTTGTTGTGTATCATATCTCATCTAAATGACATATCCCTGCTATCAATTCGCAAATTAACAAGATTTTTATTCTGAGGCAATAACTATATAACCATATACCTGAATGAATACATTTCAAAATGTTTAAACTATTTATCATATTTCCACATTGTCTGAATTGATTCTCAATGGTTGGGGAATCTAATAACTATCATTAAGGGACGATGATGAGGTTTGCCCACTTTACAGGTTAAAATATTATAAAACTGTATATTATGGAGTTACTGTGTGACGAGTTCTACACTATTTCAGTTATTATAAGTATGCTCTGTCAAATGATGAACTTGCCAAACGTTTTGAGATGATGACAAAGATCTATCTTGGATGATGACATGAGAAAGACATTCAAATACAAACTATTGTTGTTATGGTTACCACGTAGACCATTTTGTCTGATCGATCTGACAGAATTCACCGGTGTCGAGATTCTTGGCCATGATAAGATTTGGATCAGCATTGGGGAGGCTATGGGAGACGTATACCTTGTCATTACAAACATCCTATACAGTGAGAGAGAGAGAGAGAGAGAGAGAGAGAGAGAGAGAGAGAAGAGAGAGAGAAAGAGAGAGAAAGAGAGAGAGAGAGAGCAGGAAAACAAGAAAGGGCGGAAAATGACAGATGAAGATGAATACTGATTATATATAATAGGGTATACATTTGACTCGCCTGAATTAATTCTAAAGGGATGACTCAAGAAAATGGACGGTTTAAAATCACAAATACACTCTATTTTATATGAGAAATTTGCATGCGATAATCATACATGAATGGTATTATGGTTTTATAAAACATATTATACATGTATAGTAAATTTTTAAAACACATGTTTAACTTCCTCAATAAACAATGACACTTACTTGCAGGTAGTTTGTTGCTTGCGTTGTAACCTTACTGCAGCCTGATATAAACAGAGTCTTGAGATCAGGGCAGTTATTGGCGAGAGCAAATATACTCTTATCTGTGATGCAGTGGATTCCGGTAAGACCGATAAACTCTAGAGGGCAGCATCTTGTCAGTTCAACGACGCCGTTATCCGTCACCTGTAGAAATACACACAAAAAGACTCTTTAGGGGAAAACTAGAGATGATAGATTTACCCGTTGTCTTTCCATAAAGTTCATAAACATGAGTAAAACACACCAGTCAATGGAAGGGTTGGTTTTAAAAGAAATTTTAACAGATTTTAAAAAGCAGCAAAATAGAACAAAAATGCAATTTAAGTGTGAATGACTAGCCCTTATTTCCTAATGACAAACAATATTGAAAGTACAATGCAAGACTTATTTTATATAAGGACCTCAAAGATTCAATTTCTTAATGACAAACAATATTGAAAGTACAATGCAAGACTTATTTTATATAAGGACCTCAAAGATTCAATTTCTTCATTACCTATATCGTACACTCCCTCACACCACATCTCTTTGAGAGGGTAACCCATTATTTTCTGTGGTTGGCACTTTTTGATTAAGGTGATCAACAATCGATAGTGTTTTATCCAAAGGCAGATTTAGATTTAGTAGCCCTATCATCTAGCAAGCATCCCTTAAAATGTTATGATCTTGAGCCAACTGTTTATTTCACCGTATCCTACTCCTCCACAATTAATCTATACAAAGAACAAACCAGGAATGACTAGGCGTTGTGGCGTGCGCCTCTAATCCAGCTAACAGTGGAAGTTATAAACTGATTCAGGCGAGGACGTAGGTTCGAAACGGAGTCACGTCTTTCGGATGGTGACGTAAAAAGGTCGGTCCCCAGACGTCAATAATCACATCTGATTGATACACGTCTGTAAAAACCCAATACACACACACACACGACAAGCCTAGAATGCAGATGAGACTGAAAATATGAACCAAGTTTTCACCTGATTAGTAGCTGAACGGCGGCCTAAACGACCATATTCTCCCAGTGAGATGTGCTTCAGACGAGGCATGTGGTTTGCTATGGAGAAGAGCAAGGTGTCATCAACGCACTTGATTCCCGCCATGTAAAGCTCGGTCAGGTTCACGCATGCTTTACTCATATCTAGCAAGATATCATGGTTCAACTGAAAGAAAAAAAAGAAAATGAAGAAAACTAGATGAAGGTTCGACTGCGCGCAGTCGAAAATGATGCCTCCGCCATATAGCAATTTTACAAACCAAAACAGAAGCAATTTTTAAAATTCAAGTTTGATTGTAATCCATTAACAGGTACTTAGAATATCATGATTAAAAGCTACTTTTCATATACATGTATGTATGACCCTTTGATCTATGACCTCATGACCCTAATATCTAATCAGTTCATTGGCTCTGCAAGATACATACATGCAGGCGCGGATCCAGGGGGGGGGCCGAGCGGGCCTTGGCCCCCCCCCCCCCGCAAAAAAAAAAAAAAAAAAAAAAAAAAAAAAAAAAGAGAAGAAAGGAAAAGAAGGGAGAAAGGAAAAAAGGAGAAAAAGGGAAAGAAAGAAGAGGAAGAAGAAAAGAAAAGGGGGAAGAAGGAGATCGGGGGGCCGAAAGGGCCTTGCCTCACAGGCTGTTAACCCCCCCCCCCCCCCCCCCCAATCAAAAAAAAATAAGAGAGAAGGAAGGAAAGGGAAAGAAAAAGGAAAAGAGGAGATACTGGCGTACTGATAGGGGGGGGGGGGGGCTTGGGGAAATCAAATTCAAACGTGGCTTATTTCTAATGCTGAAATGACATAATTTCCGAAATTTTTCCTCACTTTTTAGTAAATTATACGTTTGTATGTGTTTGTTGGAAAATGACTAATTCCTAAATTTACAACCAGGCAAAAAATAGGATTCTTGAGATTCCTACATGTCAGGGCCCGAGGTACGGCGGGGATCGATAGCCTCGAGCCCCCCCCCCCCCCCACTTTTCTTGAAAAAGTATATTAAAGAGAAATAGAATAGAATGAGAGCAAGAAAGTAAGAATAGTTAACTGCCAGTGTTAACAAAATAATGAGGCATCAAAATATGCTCATCTGACCTTGATTAAATGCCTAAAACCCCTAATCTAGGGCCCTACGGCGGGCCCTTAGATGATGATCTGACGGTAATTTAATGCCTAAAACTCCTGATTTTTTGGGGCTCCGCCCCCTGGATCCCACGCCAAATAGTGACTTGCCAGTGTCACAAAATAATAAGGGATACACAAAAATATGCTCATCTGACCTTAATTAAACGCCTAAAACCCCCGAGCTTCCGGGGCCGGCTCCGCCGCCTCGACCCCACCAGGGGCCCTAAGGCCCCTGAATGCTTATCTGACCGTAATTTATTGCCTTAAACCCCTGAGCTTGCGGGGTCGGATAAGATATCAAGATGTGTTTATCTGACCGCAGGCGCGTAGCCAGGGGGGGGGGGGGGGTGGGGCGGTTTCCCCAATCGGAAGAGGAGGTAGGAAGAAAAAGGAGCAGACGAAGAACATCTTTGAAATTCAGACAAGGATTAAGAGTAAAAACAACGGTACAACGCATCGTTTTCTCTCTAATAATAAAACGTCAAAGCCTCGCGCAGGAGGGGAAGGGGGAGGGGGGTGCTGAATTCAGACGAGGATTCAGAGGCGAGAACGGTAATACGAATCTTTAATGATTTAATGAAATGTAAAAGCTTCTGCGCTTCGCGCGGGATGGAGGGGGAACTAAATTCCGATGAGGATTATTTTCGACAACGGTACAATGAATCGTCTTCTTCTCTAATGATTAATTGAAGATTAAAAGCTTCCGCGCTTTGCGCGGGAGGGGGGAACCTGAATTCAGATTAGGATTAAGAGTCGAGAAGTGTACAACGAATCGTCTTCTTTCTTTAATAGTTTAATAAAACGTCAAAGCTTCCGCGCTTCGCGCAAGAGGGGGAGGGGGAGGAACTGAATTTAGACAAGGATTAAGAGTCGAGAACTGTACAACGAATCATTTTTTTCTCTAATGATTTAGTGAAACGTAAAAGCTTCCGCGCTTCGCGCGGGAGGGGAGGGGGGGGGGTGAACTGAAATCAGACGAGGATAGGTCGAGAACGGTACAACGAATCGTCTTCTTTCTTTAATTAGTTTAATAAAACATCAAAGCTTCCGCGCTTCGCACAAGAGGGGGAGGGGGGGGGACTGAATTTAGACAAGGATTAAGAGTCGAGAACTCTACAACGAATCGTCTTCTTTCTCTAATAATTTAATAAATCGTAAATTTTTCCGCGCTTCGCGCGGGAGGGGAAAAAACTAAATTCAGACGAGAAATTTTTTCGAGAACGGTACAACGAATCGTCTTCTTTCTCTAATAATATAATGAAACGTCAAAGCCTGGGAGGGGAAACTCCCCCCCCCCCCCGCATTAGGTCACTGTTGGTCACCATAACGTACCAATATTTGGCTCGCATAATTTCAAATTTGGGCCCCCCCCCCTAAGAAATCCTGGATCCGCGCCTGCATACATGTCTTGAGTTTAATAGTAATCCATCCGTCGGTTCTAATGATAATGCGATCACAAGCTATTTTTGCATATATGATGAGCCCCATGACCTTTGACCTTTGACCTCATGACCCCTAAAATCGAATCAGTTCATTGGCTCTGCATGATATATACACTGTCGCTCATATAGTTGGAATATTTTTTTTTTACCCCAATTTATGGAATTATTTTGACAATGATTTATTCCTAATAGATCTAGATAATAGCATACATTCTCAGATTTTATTGAATAATAATTTGCCAGTTTTTGTTTTGCGTAATGAGGATTAATGCCCCACAAAAGGGCACTATATAGCACATCGACACGGTTTTGATCCTGGGGCCTCACAGTTACGAGGCCAATTGCTTGGCCACTGAACCATGACTGAACGCAGCGGGGGCTAGGGTAGGGGGCAGTTCCCACAATTAAAAAAAACACAAAGAAAATGTAATAAATTTGCAATAATTCATTGCATTTTCCCCCGGCCCCCAACATTAAAAAAATCCTCTGTACGACCATACGTTATGACACAAGGCATGGGCACACAGAATTTCTTTTTCTAGTGGGGACCGGGGGAAATTCAATGAATTATTGAAAATTTATTGCATTTTCTTTGTGTTTTAATGAGCCCTGTGATCTTTGACCTCGTGATCACCAAATCTAATCTGTTCATTAGCTCTCCAAGATACATATATGGCCTAAGTTTGGCGGGAATCTATTAATCGGTTCTTGAGATATTGTGATCACGAGCTATTTTTGCATACATAATGAGCCCTGTGACCGTTAATCTCGTGACCCCCAAATCTAATCAGTTCATTAGCTCTGCAAGATACATACATGACCCAAGTTTGGCGGGAATCCATCAATCGGTTCTTGAAATAACGCGATTAGGAGAACGGGACGTACAGACGGACGGACGGACGGACAACCCGAAAACATAATGCCTCCGGCTACTTCGTTGCGGAGGCATAAAAATGCACAAACACTTAACTTTTACTATCTTTGGTCGGTCAATAGAACAAACTTTGACTGCTACAGTTGTCATTTGTCACACATGCATGAAGTTAATCTCAAATATAATGTGTACAATGTGGCAGTGCAGGGTTCCACTCATGGATGGCGAATGAGGAGTACCCTGGTGGATAGAAGTAGATTTTTTGAGATGTCACGCATTTTCCAAAGACTCCAGCCTGATTATCTTTGGAATATAAGAAGAATAAGGCTGAAGAGGCTATGCAAAAGGTCTGTTTGACATGGAGAATGCAGGGTTATTGAAAAGCCCATTGTTGAATTTGCTGATAATGAATGGACAAAACCTAATGGCTATATCAAGTTTTAAAATGATTTAATGATACTTTTGTTCTGAACAAATAATCACAAAAATATTGGCTTCTAATAATGTGCCTTTATACTGTCACAGTCATGTTAGTGCTCTTGATGCTGCCATGTTACTATGGTTTTTCTGGAGCTGCTATAATATCGTTCAAACTGTACAAGCTAGAAACCGCTTTCTACCAGGTACCCTATATCTACAGTTGGGCCAAAATATACATTTTCGGATCCCATGTTTTGTTGTAACCAATTGCCTAGTGAATGCTCCCCATAGCTTTAATACATGGACCATCCAGTTTCCCCTCAGTTTGTTCTCCCTTTGAGCCATGTAAGTACGAACTCTCAACCTCTTTGATTGAAACTATACCACCACAGTGCTCCTTAAGAAGTTATAAAGCACAAAACTCACATATTTGCACCGGGTCCCGTACATCCTGAGTAGTGTCAGGTTTCTAGATCTCTCCTGATCTCTGAACAGCATCCTCAGCGACTCATCGGTCAACTTCATACCTGGTCCCAAATGGATCTTCTCTAAGGATGTACAGTTCTTGACGATAAGCCTCAAGATATCACCGGTCATGATCTGATGGTAGCCTGTTATATTCAAGCATATCAGCTGAGGCCCAACCATCTCGAAAAACTGTAAAGTGCAGTGAAGAAGACACATGTATTGTACCTCCACAAGTTATGAATGTTGAAAATCAAGTATTGTGGTACAATAGTAATATTACACATGAGAGCAAACCTCTCTTTTTTAAAGAATGGTTTAGAAAAGGCATTATAACAATGAATGACATTGTAGAAAATGGACGTTTTCGGCCAAGAGAACATATTTGTAGAGTGCTTGGCTCAAATTCTTTGCTAGTTGATTTTATGTATACGAAGCTTAAAAATGCGATCCCAAAAATGTGGATCGAAAGAATTCAAGATGTTAATTACGCACATGACGATAAAACAAATTCACAATTCGAAGGCGACTTATACGAAATAAGAACACTTGATTTTATAAGACTATCTTCAATGAAATCTAGCCATTTCTATAGCCTATTGTGTGACTTTAAGAAAAGAGAACCAGCTGTATTAACATTTTGGGAAGGTAAACTGAACCTTGTCATTGATTTTGATTGGAGAGATACATTAAAATTTAAGTTTAAGACATTGAAAAACAATAAAATAAAACAACTCAACTTTAAGACATTTCATAGGATTTTACCCTTTAGATACAATCTGTGCAAATGGAAAATTGTAAATGAAAACCTTTGCATTTTTTGTAAAACAGCAGAATCTTTCGTTCATGTTCTTTTAGAGTGCCCGAGCGTAAAGCTTTTCTGGAAACGTATTGTGGAATTGATTGAATTGAACTTTAAAGAAAAAATTATATTAAACGAAGAATTATTAATTGCTGGTTTTGATTTCAAACATGCAAATGGAGCAGATATAAATACAATCGTTGCATATGCTCAATACGCAATCTATTTGATGTATATGTTAAATTATTTTCAAGGTAAACCATACAACAGTTTTTTCATATGGCATGTTTTTAAATACGAGTTACTCTTGGATAACATCTCGGATGTTGTTTCGGGGGCTCTCGGGACATAGTATTTTTTTTGGAGAGTTTTTGAGAGCTTTTGAAATAGCATCTGGGAACTAAGGAAAATCTTCGGGGATATTTTATATCACTGAAGATTTTCTCTTAATAGTTTAAGAAAATACTTAAAGTGAATGTAAAATTTTGTTATGATGTAATGATTTGTGTGTTGGTTATTTTTGTAAATGAATAAAGTACCTCTGACAAGAGGAAAATAAAAAAAAAAAGTACCTAGGCAATGTGCAAGTAACAGTATTACAAGATTGGGTAACAGTATCCATTTGGTGAAAGGGAGACAGTCATCAATTCACATATACATGGACATCCAGCAAGCACATACATCAAAAACATTAATATGACATTCCATTACAAAATTGATTAAGTCTCCTCAGAATTTAAGAATGTACCTCAGTGATGTAGGAGAGGATACACAACCATATGTAATGTACAAAGGTTACATTTATCAAGCAACAATCTGGAGACAGAAGAAAAACTAGACAGGACGCGTCTTACAGGGGAAGGAGGTAACATGCTCAGGGACATCTTAGAAGGGAAGACGGATAATCGTGGAAGAGGCAGACCAAGAATTGGGATGGTGTCAGACTTGATAAGTGACACATCATATGACACTATGAAGAAGAGAATAAAGAAAGGGATGGAGAAAGAACTAAAGGTGACACTGGTGTGTGGACTTGCCTGTTGCAGAACACTTTTGCAGAAAGAGAACTACAAACCTTTATGGCATGTTCTTCAGTAATAAAATTTTCCCCGCAGAGTATGAGAGTCTCCAGCTTTGGTAACCTTGAGACCGCTGTGTGGATATCTCCACCATCCAGCCGGAGCCCTGACAGGACAAGTTTCTTGAGACTTACAGGAAGCTCTTTCAGGAAGTCTTTGCTCGAGCTCTCCTGGAGCTTGTAGCAGAAGGAGACATCTAGGAGCTGGAGCTTGGTGCATTCTTTACTCAGCTGTAAGCAATGACAACAAATATGGTAATGTATACAGGACTGCACATACCTAAAGGGAATCATGTACAAGAATCTTGACGCCTTGAAGCAGCACTGCATTAACAGAGTAGGTTTTTGAGATTCACGGGGAACTATGTCAGGAAGTTCTTGTTGGCGCTCTCCTAGAGCTTGTAGCAGAAGGAGACATAAAGTAAACAATGGTAATCATATAGCTTCGTTTAGTCTCATTTCACAACGCCCCCGATCGTCAGAGTCAGCAGCCATACATGTTAGCCTATGGAATTGTACCCCAAAAAAAAATCGTTAAAAATTCATTTTCTGTTTAAACGAAAAGCACATCCACCCCGACTTACGTTATCACCAGCTCTTTCATTTGAACCCTCATGTCCCATTGACTTTTGAAAGTTCACCCACCGTAATTTGATCAAAATAGGTTGCAAGCTCGTCATTGCCTATAGTACACATGTGAAACAAGTCGAACTTCGGACTCAGTTTGCCAAGCGATTGTAAGATTATAGGTCAAGCACACGAAGGATAAGAAGCATGAATTATCATAGATCACTTCTGCTTGGTTCATTATGTCCATTTCATCCAACCCCCCACCGTCATTTTTCCATTTAGTAAAAGCAAACATTTTTCCGAGTTTAGCAAAAACATGAATATTCATGAACGGTCAGACGATACAGCCTTTTAGTACGTAATGTATAGTGAATGGGAATGAGCGATGATCCGTACAGGAGGTAGCCTATAATCTAGGCGGAGTGCCGAGCTTTTTTCTTTGCTGCTAGACTAACCCTAAGCAGAACGTCTGATACGGCGAAAAACTGCCACGGATTCAAGGTCGATAATAAAAAAACAACGACTAAAGCTAGACCAGTGGTTATAGGCGGTGCGCGGCTCACGGTTCGTAGTCTCGCCGTATCAGACGTTCTGCTTAAGGTTAGTCTAGCAGCAAAGAAAAAAGCTCGGCACTCCGCCTAGATTATAGGCTATACAGGAGGTAGAGGTCAGTGGTTTGTGCTGGCAATGTTCACGCGAGCGAAAATGAGACAATCGGAGCAATATGGTACGCAGGTATGCATTTACTCAAACGCAACCATATACACAATAATCTTTATGCAGTGTACATACATGATTCAGTAGACTACTTTTAGAGAGTGAACTTCAAGATCTGCATCTTTTCGTCTGGTTAGAGACAGAAGGGTGTTAACTTCTATGCATTTACAAAGTGTTAACACCCTTCTGGCTAACATATTACAGATAACTCACAGATCACATAGTAACAATTGGTGCTAATGTTGCACAAAACTACCCCTTTTTCATGCTTTTCATTTGCACATGAAATATTTTCATTTAAACAAGAAGCAAATATAATTTTAAATTGTTTGTTTGTTTGTTTGTTTTTATTTCCGAAATCCATATATACATACAAGTTTTAAAAACATTTCAAATGATAAGAAAGTAAGTAAATGTGTTACGTATAGACAAACGGTCGGATAGCCGATTTCAGGACCATTTTCAAAATGTTTTTCCATGGGGTCCAAAAGCAAAAAAATCATATTAATTTAATTTATAATATCAATTTTTAATCATAGTAATTTACCAATACACTATCCCCCTTATCGATCCCATTCGCCTCCCCTCCCGCCGCCCTCTCGATACCGCCAACCCCTCCCGCTACCCCCTCCTGATCGAGTCCTCCAGGGTATATTACAAAGAACAATAAACAATTTTTATGACAATCATAAATTGGTATTAATATTATCTAAAAACATATTTCTCTGTCATAACATTTCAAATTAAATGTTTTATTACATTATTAAATATAGCCAAACTTCTTGATTGTTGAGTGGGCATAGATAATCCATTATACAATTTACTTCCGCGATATAGAAACGTACGCTTACAATTCTGTGTTTTCGTTTTAGGCAAAACTAAATTAGTACTGCTAAGAGCATAGTTTGTAGTCTTAACAATAAATGGTCCTTTGCATATTTGTTACATATGCCACTTTTACTTACCGCCCTCAGCCCTGCACTGGTTATTCCACTACAGCCAAATAGAACAATCCTGTTGGTTGGGAATACAAAAGAATATAGTTAATGGTAATATCAATTGTCATTATTTTCTGTTTAATATGTATGTACATCACTAGGTCATTCCACAGATATCCATTACAAGTGGAAATATACTGTGCATGGAAAGAGCCGACATGGTGCAAACATAACAGGTACTCTGTGTCCCTTTAATTCGTCCCTTTTTCACGAAGTGACGGTAATGAGGAAAATCGCATATAATTTAATTTTTTTTTGCATTTTTGGACATCATTCACTAACATCTTAAACCTCACAAAATTTCTAACCACAATAATATCTAATTATGTCACTATGACGATGACGTAAACAAGAAAATACCTAGTAAAAGGAGTGACGTTTTCACGAAGTGACGACTAATCAGTTACGCGCTGCGCTTATACAGCCGGTGTGACGGCGTTTAGTGTGACTGGCGGATCGTGTTCGCGGAACAAAATCCGCCGGCAGATATTGTTCCCGTCACAAAATCTGCCGGCAGATATTGTAACCCACCACGCAGAGTGGCTGGCAGATAGTGTTCCGTTTTGCAGCTATCGTTCCATTCTGAAGGTATCGTTTTTATGAGTGGTACGGTCTCCGCTTGCTGCATGCATGCATGCTGGCTAGGCTGCGTGCGATTGCAATTGCATGTGTACCGTAGTACTATACTGTATACCACCATGGATGCTGAGTGCGAGTACGAGTTCGAGCAAGAGCTAGGCCGCTCTTATTAAGAGTTTTCTCTTAAAAGAGGAATTAAGCCACCTAAGCGTAAAAAAGAAGAAAGCGATAAGGCGAAAAGCAATTAACTTTGCGATAGTAGACAAGAGTTTGTACTACGTGAAAAACGGTGAGACTGAGAGTGAGGCTCCCAGTCTGAGAGAGGTTGTGACCACTCGGGTGCAGCAGGCAAGAATTCTTGCCAAACTGCATGATGAAAACGGTAAGGTCAAGCTTTAATTTTGATCTATACAACTTCATTATCATTTAGGATACTTTGAATGCATACGTTCTACATGTGTCTTTACAGTATTGAACAATAACTATACTGATGAAACCCATTACAATTAAGAAAATAGTTTATGATATTTAAAATCTTTTTTTTCTATCATGTAGAGTGACCTTAAAGTTCACCCCCCCCCAGAAAAAAAAAATGAAGGGAGGATATGGGATGATGCAAAGAGCCTCGATCACCCCCCCCCCCCGGCCCCACAATTCAAGTTTCGTAATCAGTACAACCGAATAAAAAAAAATGTTATAAATCTGTAAGGGATGCACAGTAATGGCAAATTTTAAATTGATAAAGAAATACAATATAATCCTTTTCGTCTATTGGATGCGGACAACTTCTAAAGGTGGCAAAATAACCTGAATTATACTCTGTAAGGATTCGAGAATAGTTTGAAAATAGGGGTAAAACAAATTTAAGTTTATTAGGTTTATATTGTTTTATTAGCTTATAAATCTATTTTTAAAGAAATGATCGAAGCCGTTGATAATTTCTATTTCTTGCAATTATGGCATATAAAATCAAAGGAATCTGTTTGGTTTTTTTTTTTTTTTTTTTTTGGGGGGGGGGCTTACCAATGTTTAAAACGCTACTATGGGAGTCAGGTTGTTTTATTCTAAAAGGTTTTCTTGGCTAACAAATGCAGTAATACAAACGTTTGAAAGATTCCAAACAAACACGTCAATTTGCTCTGACCAATCATGACCCTTCCCATATCTGCCTTCATTTTAGTTATAAATGAAAAGAAAGAAAATGAAAAAGCACAGAGACTGGATCACAGGAAAAATGTTTAATGAAATGAAATAAATACGTAATTAAATTATGATTTATTTCTGTTAAAACAGCAGTTGGGGAGGAGGTCTTATGTATAGGCCTCTAGAGGCCATTAGACCCACTCGGGCATAAATAAAACAAAAATGCCAAAATGTCAATTATGCTGGTTTTAACATAAAATTAGAACGATGGACAAGAAGAATGGAGAAGAAGAAAGAGAGACAACAAGGCTTTGCGCCTGTGGGCGTCAATGCAATAAAGGGGGATGCTTTTCGGAATAGCTTACAGATCCGATGTCCAATACGAACAAATCAGACAATTTAAGTCTAGTAATCCGCCATGTTATTCACGATAGAATTATCAGACCATGTCCTGTAGCCACTAGCGTACCTATGGGGGGGGGGGAAGGGGCCGGATTGTCCCCCCCCCCCCCCGACGAAAAAGAAAGAGAAAGAAAAGAAGAAAAGAGAAAAGGGAAAAGAAAGGAAGGAAAAAGAAAAAGAAAGAAAAGAAGAAAAGAGAAAAGGGAAACGAAAGGAAAGAAAAAGAAAAAGAAAGAAAAGAAGAAAAAAGGGAAAGAAAGGAAAGAAAAAGAGAAAGAAAAAAGGAGAGAGAGAGAGAGAAAAAAAAATGAAAGAAGTAGGGAAGGAGAGAGGAAAAGAGTGACGCATTTGCCGACAGAAATTTTGAAGGGCTTCATAAGCCCAGTTCCTGTCACTGTTGAGGGAAAAATCAGTTCGTAATGCCTCGCGCTCGCATGATTATTTGTTATCACTGATATGTGGATTCAGATACAAAAAGGGGGCTAATTACTTTTTTGTATATCTGTTTTCAGGTCGATCACGATGTAGAAACAAATTAGTTGCATGTTTCAATATTATAGGGGGTAATGATTACTTCAAAAGGTTTTTTAATTTGATAAGAGCCTAATTAAACCATGGAATAATTAACATTTAGGATAGGGAAGGAGGGTGGTAGATGCTATGCATTTGTTAATCGGCAAATTTGGATGACGTCGCACCCTTAAAAGTTGGCAGCAAATTTGGGTGTCACACCCCTAACCCTAACCCCCCCCCCCCCTCCCAATAAAACAATCTTTTTCGAATTATGAAGACTTTTCAAATCAACAAAACATAAGTAAGGTACGGGTATGCATGAAATCGCGCGATCGCAAACATCAAAATACCGTGGGAGGGGGGAAAACCCTCCCCCCCTGACGCGGTATGCCAGGTTCGCCACTGCCTGTAGCTATATAGGAACAAAATCCGCCAATGCACATTATCCGCCGTGTTCACTAACGGCAGATTTGGTTGTTTTGTTTTGGTTGTAGCGGGTACGATATCCGCTGCTGATCACGATATCTGCTAGGCAGATTTTGTTCCGAGAACACGATCCGCCAAGGTAACAAGATCAGGCGCATTTATACTGTCAAATACCTCATTTTGAAAAGTCGCGATGTTTCGTGCACCCGGTTACACTTGTGCTGAAACATCACCGACGGAGCTGTTCAGCGATGTTTTGGCGTGTTTCGGTTGGTAATGCGCATGTGCAGTCTTCCCGACCTTTGACCCCGGCCTGCTATAAGATTTTTAGCGCGCGCAATTTCCAGCTAGCGCTATAGCTAGCTAAATAGTGATACATCCCATGCGCATGCATGCGATATGTTTTGTTTATCTCGCGTGTAGTATTTGAGGCAAGAGTGGATAAGTTACGAAGTACGGACTACGGCTGCTGATTCAGTTTTCCCAAATTCAATCGAAATCTAGTAGTAAAAATGATATGGGAAGGTTAAGAAAATCATCGTTGTTAATTGTTAATTTCATGCTTTCACTCATTTCTCTGAAGCCCTTTTCCCCACGTTTGCAGGGACGCTTGGAAGTCTGGTGGAGGAGCTCTCCCTGCCTCCACATCGAAATCAAGAACTTCATCTCATCATCAGTCCAATGGGAATTGTTCACTTCCATATTAATTAATCTAACAAAACACTCAAATACTACTACTACTAGACAGATATGGCCAGACGGGAATAACGAAGATTGAACTAGATTTGTAATACTTGTTTGGAACAAGTATAGGTGGGCTGGTTCAAGTAAAATTTGAGACAAAATGAAGGGCGCATTTGAGATAGCTAATCGTCTCAGCTACAACATACTCATGGTTCATTTTTAACGAAGCTAAAACGACGGAGATATTGCTCGCGAAAGACGGGAATGTAGAATCCAGTTTTGAGAAAAAGTCATGTCCCGTAGAGAATACACACAAAAAGTGAAAAATTGACATGCCTCCTTTAATCGCAACAATACGCCATGATTCCTTTGTCGAATTGAATGTTTTTGTAGTAAATTGTCTCAGCTAGAACATATTAAAATTTGAAAGAAAATTGATCAATATTTACAGAGATACAATCAATTTTCCAAATATATGATGACGTCATAATATGCAAATTGAAATTTTGAGTTCGGAGGCCATTATGATGACGTCATGAGTTAATTGAGGGTCAAATGAGACATGAAATCATATCTCCGACTCGTACTTTATCAAGATATGAAAACAAATTGAGGTCATCTTGCATCCTAAAGAGCTACAATGGATTTTGTATAGGCATATTTTTGCCCATATATGCTATGTATTACAAGAGCTCGCGCGCACGGAAATTTATGTTTAACGGTCGATCATACCGTCATTAATAGTCATAAAGAGATAAACATGGTATCAATTTGTTTGTAAAAATATGTGGAATATTATGAAAGAAAAAAATGGCGATTCTATGTTGCGTAAAAGTTTTACGCGCGAAAACGCACGCGCATGTGCGTGTGCGCGATTTTTTATAAAATGCTTAGAATGGCCTAAAACGTATGCAAAATGATTTTGAGACGATTTTGAGCATTTTAAAATTTTGCGCGCGCATTGACGCGCGGACGTACGCGCACGCGCGCGTTTTTTGACCTGAAATTGACCGGACGGATATTGACCTCGATCATGATAAATATGAACGAGAAATAGCTTTTGGTTATGAAGATATGATCATGAGTTGATTTTTACAAAATGGCGCCTAGATGACGTCATCAGTGAAGGTCAATGTTAAAAACGTTATTGTGCTTTGTACATATGCCTATACATATGTGTGCCAAATTTCAAGGCATTTAATCGAACCATTTTCAAGTTATCTTGCTAACAAAAAAGTGGTTAGAAATAAGAAAAATATTTACTAGATT